GCAACCTCCATCACCGCAACCTCCATCACCGCAACCTCCCATACCTCAACCTCCATCACCACAATCTCCATCACCGCAATCTCTAAAATCCGAACCTCCATTACCGCAACCTCTAATACCACAACCTCCATCACCACAATCTCCATCACTGCAACCTCTAATACCACAACCTCCATCACCACAATCTCCATCACTGCAACCTCTTACCATCTCACCATCTAATACCACAAACCTCCATCACTGCAACCTCTAATACCACAACCTCCATCACCACAACTTCCATCACTGCAACCTCTAATACCACAACCTCCATCACCACAACTTCCATCACTGCAACCTCTAATACCACAACCTCCATCACCACAACTTCCATCACTGCAATCTCCTAACATCTCACCATCTAATACCACAAACCTTCATCACTGCAACCTCCATCACCGCAACCTCAAATACCACAACCTCCATCACCACAACTTCCATCACTGCAATTTCTTAACATCTCACCATCTAATACCACAACCTCCATCACCGCAACCTCTAATACCACAACCTCCATCACCACAACTTCCATCACTGCAATCTCCTAACGTCTCACCATCTAATACCACAAACCTTCATCACTGCAACCTCCATCACCGCCACCTCTAATACCACAACCTCAATGACCAGAACCTCTAACAGTGCAACCTCCATCACTCCAACCAACTACACTTGGCAACATAGTCCAATGTGCCTGAATAAGCATTTGGCCACATTTGTCCAAGCTTCCATGATGACCCACATGGCGTTTCCAGCCAATTACAGAATGCTTCTGTTGCATGTGCATCGCAATGCGCTTCAAAAGGCATTGGGACCAAGCTGCCTGTCGTAGACCGACGTGGATCAGTATTTAGTCAGCATTGAGGCCCGTGTTGAACCGAGCAATGTGGACAGAAACTTTGCCGTACGCAACAATATTGTGGGAAAATTGCCCTCTCTAGCTTTAGCCGCGGACCGTCGGTGCGGGGTGCGGCTTGAGACGATACGGCGAGGGGGGGGGGGGGCTCGAACAAAAACCGACTCGTTGCGTGCGCCTGTGTGCGTGCGAGCGTTAAGCCCAGCAGGTCGCTCTCAAAAACAAATATTTTAACATAGTTTTCATCCACTGAAAACTGTGCGCGCGTTTCTTAGTCGGTGGGCGCATGCCTGGCTGCTAACCGCAAAAAAATTGCCGTACTCCGTTGGTGTTACTTTCCCTCTCACGGTCGTATTCAAGTTTTACAGTGGGGAGGGGAGCGGGGGCAGGGTGGTTGCACATTTCACCGTTTAACCTCTCCTGGCCACAGCTAACATGGGTGCCGAGTGATATCTGAACCAGTCCGAGTGACGCCCCCACCCCCTCGTCAACTCCCGCTGACCAGCGCGGTGAAGTATGATCAAGCAACCCCCATGACAGACGCGGTGTGAGGAGGTCTTCATCCAGCAGTGGATTGACACAAGACCGTACGTTATTTTTTTCATGGTTACCATTACAAAAATGTGGGGTTTTGAAGAAGTCCGGTGTGTTGCACATGCTTTGTCCAAAAACATTCGCCAATGCAAATGTCAACAGTTTGGAAGTGAAAGGACTCGCGACTGCAAACCAGCTGCACCACACAACTTGCGTCTTCTCCCATGTGGGCCAAGACGTCCCCAGGGCCTGAGATAACGCCCACTGCCACCTGGGGTCTCGGTGCTGTGTACCGGTCCCGGCTTCCTGCCTCGTCACTACTGGGCCCTGCAGTAAAACGTGTAACCACAAAGCCGGTCTGAACCGCACTCGGGTGGCTGCTCATTAGAGGCCCAACTTATTTTACCGGCTGTTACTCAGCGACTTAAGGGAGGGGGCGGGGGGGACGGTGGATCAGTTTGTGGCAGGAGAGAAAGATGTGTGACACACTCACCTGTAGGGGAAATTAGTAATTTCCTCCAGCGAAGAGTGTCATAGGTGCATCACACAAAATCATCATGAGGGTAATTGTGAGGAATATAAGTATTGGCATCGTGTTGTGAGGTGAAGAATCTATTCGAATGGCCCACGGAAATGGATATCACGGAACTCCTTCTGACATCTCGCCAAGTGTCCTCTGACCCACACAGTTGGGGGCAGCACTTGCCCATCCACGCGGCCGCTGAGGGTGATATTCTTAATGTTTAGAACTGGGATTCAGCCAAATTAAGTGCAGCACCAAAGTGTAATGTGATGTTGGTGGATGTCTCCAAGGTCAGAGGACTGTGCTGTTACTTCTGACACCCTGAGTTCAAAACCAGGTAGTGGCTTGTGATTGAACTTGCTTCTCAAGTGCAGTGAGTTTATGGTTTTAAGCAAGGACATAAACAACTGAAGTCTCATCTTAAAATATCTATTTTTTGCACAACCACATATATCACACGGAAGGTAAAAAATTCCGCACACATTTTTTATTCCAAATAAATTTTTTCCCCATCGCATTTGTTAAATGTGTGTTGATGTTCATATTTTTTGTAAAAAAAGAAATGCGTCTTCAGGTGAGAGAGAGAAAGCTACTGAAACAAGCCAGTGGGTTTGCATAGTACCTTCGTCTTGGAAAAATCAATTTAATGTGAGCCTACAGTGTTAAACAATGATCAGCCACGGCCGAGGTATTGGTCCTACCGTGTTTCAGATCTGCCTTGTGTTCCACGAACACGGTCCGAGACATGTCGTTTTAGTTTCCCCAATGTATCTACTGCCGCAGACACAACTTAGTTTGTAGACACCGGGGTATTGCATCCTTCACAGATGGGATCAGATCACGAATTTTATGTACTGTGTTGAATCGAACCTGGATCTTGTGTTTGTCCATGATTTTGGAAATGTTTTTGGTAACCCCTGCTATGTGTATGGCAAGGTGATGGTTTTGATTGGATCCTCAGATGGTTTTCTCTCCCCAAGGTTGGGGTGACAGTTTTGCGGATTGTGCGGTCCAAATATCCATTCATCTTGAGGACTTTGTGTACGTGCTCCAGTTCACTGGCTCGGTGGTGCTGGTCGGAGATGCAACGGGCCCTATGGTGTAGGGTTTTGATGAGGGAATTTTTCTGGGCTGGATGGTGGTGGGAGTCAGGGTTTAGATAGGCATCCGTGTGGGTGGCTTTTCTGTAGACAGAGTGTCCCAATGAGCCATCTGGTCTCTTTTCGATTAAAACATCCAAGAATGGTAACTTGCTTTCCTTTTTCCACTTCCATGTTGAATTTGATGGCTGGGTGTATGGAATTGATGTGGTTGAGAAATTGGTTCGCCTAATTATTTTTCTATCTATGTGACTTTACCGAAAGACCCAAAGAGAATGGAACTAGTGTTTGACAAACATCCCAATCTACCTGCAAAGTATTACATTGGGTTTGCAAATAACTACATCACCCCCCATACTGCGAAACTTGCCAGGACACTCCTGAAGAATAAAGAGTCCTGAGACTTCTTCTTTGATTCTTTCTGAGACTGAGTGAGGCTTTCCTGGATAAGCAAGCATAACAATTATTGTGACACGACGTACATTTTTGGTCCGTGTTGGTGGTTTGTAACGAACCACCAAAAATCTACGTAAAATTAATTTTGGTACACTTTTCCCCGACTGTGCTCAATGGGGGGGGGGACGTGGTGTTTTGTAGAGGGCACTTGGCAGTGAGAGCAGGCAACCAAGCAGCGGTGGTTTCAGGCCACGCTCTGCCGGTGAAACTCAAAGTTCCAGCCACGGCGTCATCTGCCTGCTCGGGCAGCCAAGGTGCAAAGCGCTCCTCTCCTGCCGGTGGCTCTGAACAGACGGGGAATATTTCACATTCCCATGGTGGGACCAGTGCATTTTATCAACCCCAGAAAAATGATGGCCCAAGTTGACCCTCTGATTGGACTTTTGACTCAAGATGGACATACAATAAGTCAATCATGTGAATGTGTATTTCCACATGTGTACATATTTGTTAATGTGTGTGTTTGTGCATCTGTGTATACAGTATGCGTGAATACACTTGGCTGTCTATGGGTTTGTAAACAAGTGGGTGATTGATACCCGGGTGAGGTCAAAGGATGTCTCCCTGCTGGTCAACCATGTTATGTATGCATGCTGATGAACTGGTAAACCTGGAACGTATCCCCACGAGGATAGGGCCTTGCCATCTGACAAAACAAAACACCTACCTGAGTACCCTGTGTCCTCAACAAATCCAGATCCTTAACTCTCCATTCGAGTTTTGTGTGGTGGTTTATGAGGTGGTGGAAAGACTCTTGTATTTGGGCAGTGTGCTGACGGCCAGCTCCAGTTAGGCAGCAGAGGTCGCACTCTGAATCTTGTCACGCGGCATCTTTTCAGCGACGGTTTAATGCTCTTTGCAGGCTGCCCGGCCTGTTGCACTGCAATAAGCTTTGGATCTTGTCACTTGCACTTGAGAAACATGGACTCGATTACAGGAACACCTGCACTGATTTCAAACCTCAAGCTGCCCTGTCTTATGATCCATCATCTGATCACAGAAAACTTGAAATATTTGGTCATAGCCCCCGTCAGTGAACTTTTCCGTCTTGCGAGGATGTGTTGGCTGGTTCATGTAGCCCGCATGCCAACTGACTGCACAATTAAGTAGCTTCTCTTTGGCTGAATATAGGGGGGCTAAATTGACATGTAACCGAATAGAGAAAAGAGAGGTTGATGTGGTTACAGGGAGGCTTGACGCTGAGTGGTTTATTGATGACTGGTACCAGCAGCATCAAAATCAACACCTGTGGAAGGGGCCCGTGAAAAACACTACTGGGCATTTAAAGGTAGCCTCCCTCCAGCAACAATAGGAGGCAATTTGAAACGTGCCTTCTGCTTTTAATGAATGAATCGGTAGACACCCAGTAATAATGTTCTTCCCGAGTCTGGTTTAGGATTGGAGCAGGTCCGATAACGCATGAAAGTTGACCGACACTGCCCTCGGACAGGTGGATGACCCTTGACCCTTTTCCGCCCGTGAATGAGCACAGGTGCAGAGGCAGGTGCACCCGAACCTGACCGCCAACGACGACGCGCTGCGCTACATCGAGGAGCTCATCCTGCAGCTGCTGAGCATGCTGTGCGTGACGCAGCCGCGCAACGTGCAGGACGTCGAGGTGCGTACGTTCACGCACGTCCCCGCGCGTCCGTACTAGCAGGATTATCACAGGTTCACCGGCGGTCCTGGGAGTAGGAAGCAGCCACAGAGGGAGAGACACTGAACACCAAACACAAAAAAGCAAACAACAGTGAGGAATCCACAAATATGGTTTCCATAGGCAGACTTTGGAGTAGTGTGCATTGGTGACTACTGTACTGATGAGTCCTAATGAGGACGAAACCAGTCCAAAGTTGTCTTATCACTGTGTCATTACAGGACCGGCACTTTGGCTGGCAATTGATTACCTCCGTGCGTCGCACTCCTCAAACATCACCTGTCGCCCCGCCACTTAGCACTTTCCTTTCTGCGCGATCACAGATGAGTGCAAGTCAAATAAAAATGCAAACACAACCTACGTGTCGCCCAACTCACCGCAGCGAGAGCCCTTCTTAAAACCAGAAGGCGCCCTTGCCCGGTTATTGTCTGCCGGCGCTTTCTCTCACTCCTACGGCCAAGGCTTGTTCTCCGACTTCCCTGCCCTTGGGTGCCGGCTCATTACTCCGACACGGGACATTAGGTAGCTAAAGACGCCCAGCTGCCTTCTGCCCCGTAAATGTCGTTGCGCAAAAACTTTGCGTGCTTCTGTTGAACGGCACAACGCTTCGAATCCCGGCGCGTAACGGCAAACACACGAACTGCATGAACGTTCGTGGCAACGCACGCGTCTTGGCGTGCGTGCGACTCCTGCGCCCAGTACATGCGCGCTGGCGGCGACGGTGACGGCGGTGTTTGCATTCTTGCCTGCGTGTGCGTGACCATGTGCATGCGTGACTGTGGGTGAGTGACTATGTGTGTGAGTGACTGTGTGTGTGAGTGACTGTGTGTGTGAGTGACTGTGCGTGCTTGTCTGACTGTGTGTGAGTGACTGTGTGCGTGAGTGACAATAACTATGACTGCGCATGTGTGACTGCGTGCATGACTATCTACGTGAGTGACTGCGTGCGTGACTATGTGCGTGCTGCGTTGTCACATTGTGCGCTCCCAGGAGCGTGTCCAGAAGACCTTCCCGCACCCGATTGAGACGTGGGCCATCGGGGACGCCCAGTCGGCCATCGAGAAGAGGAAGCGGAGGAGCCCCCTCCTGCTCCCCGTCGACAAGATACACCCGCTCCTCAAGGTGGCCCCCGCGTCCCAGCTCCGCTCGGTCCCCTCGATCTCTCGGTGTCGGCGCGTCGCCTCTCTCCCCGTCTCCTCTCCTCGTCCGTTCGCTGCCTCTACCTTCGTCTCCCACCCCTCGCTCCATCTTCTAATCTCACTCGCTCGGTATCGACGTCTCGCTCAACTTCACTCTACTCCTTTATTTGTTCTTATTCCCCTTTGATCCTTGGGTGAATGCAGCATCGCTAGTGGATGCGAGGATCGTGTGATCCCATTACACGCGACATACACATATCGAAAAAGTAATTAATAGATTCATTGGTGCATCATTGAATCCCTCATCATCGTCCTCTTCCGTTAGGAGTTGATATCTGAAGGGCCGGTTTCTGCCACCTCTCTTCTGACCCCTTGGCCTTTGACCCCCGCCGCCGGTGGTGCACAGGAGGTGTTGGGCTACCGGATCGACCACCAGGTGTCCACCTACATCGTGGCCGTGCTCGAGTACATCTCAGCCGACATCCTCAAGCTGGCCGGCAACTACGTGCGCAACATCCGACACTTTGAGATCACCCAGCAGGACATCAAGGTGGCCATGTGCGCCGACAAGGTACCTGCAAATGCGCCGCAAGTGGCTGTGGAGCGACGGTGGCGCACGCACGGTTGGCTACGTACAGTGCGAAAGAAGTTCAACATACATCAAACAACGTCGCCAACAAAACTCGCATGCACACGACTCGGCATGTAGAGATTCAGACGAATTTTTACGATAAGGGGTCACGATAAAATTCCGGAATGTACAATTTATTCTTTTGATTATCAGGTGCATATAGCATGGACTCACTAACAGTGTTATTCATAGCGCCGATCACTGCTGGCCGAGTGACTGAGCCACACCGACTGTCCCCCTGTGTTCCCCCCACCGCCCCCCGACCCAGGTGCTGATGGACATGTTCCAGCAGGACGACGACGCCGACCTGTCCAGCGTGCTCTCGGGCGACGAGGAGCCGAGCGCGGCGTGCGAGCAGACGTACGACGATCTGGTGAAGGCGCTCATCGCCGAGGAGCGGCAGTACTTGCGCGAGCTCAACCTCATCCTGCGCGTCTTCCGCGAGCCGCTCGCGTCATCGCCGGGCCTCTTCTCCTCTCATGTGCGTGAGCATGTGCGTGTGCACGCCCGCGTGCACGCCCGCATACGTGTGCGTGAGCGTGTGCGTGTGCGCGTGCGTGCACGCCCGCACACGCACACGTACATGAGCGCATGAGCGTGTGAGCGCGCGCGCGTGCACGCCCGCACCCGTGAAGCGCGTGCGTGAGCATGCGCGCGCGTGCATGCCCGTGTACGTGCGTGCGTGCCCGCGCGCCCGTGTACATGAGCGCGCGCATGCGCGTGTGCACGCCTGTGCGCGTGCTTTGTGTGCTTAGCCCCGGTACACGCTCTGTGGTGACGTCACCGTAACTTAGTGGCAAATGGCGGCTGTTGTTGGTGTGCGTTTGTGCGTGCGTGCCCTGGTATTCGCGTGTTTGTTCGTCTGTGTCCATTCGTGTGTCTACGTGCAAATGTCGGCAGAGTGGGGAGTGCAGGTGGTGTATCTCAGTCAATCCATAATGCCTTGGTCGTCCTGTTACTTTCTGCCAGCGAGCTGTCCACACTTCATATGGCAAATGGAAGCTGTTTTATGTATATGTATGCGCATGCTTGTGCGTATGGGGGGCAGCCAGGTGTACAATTGATCAGACCACCCCTTTGTGTGCTATATCAACGTTTCTATGTGCTTGTGAACAGCACTTGCCCCAGCAGGCAGTGTAGACTACACATGGAATCTTTGTTGTCCTTGTGCGCACTGGTGTACACGCATGTGTGTCTGCCCACAAACCACAAGGCGGCACTCTTCATGCAGTGCGGAGAGAGTGGTTCATTGCGGACGTGTGCCATCTAGAACACAGTTGCAAAACTATCCCTTAAGGTCTGTATAAGCCAATATGTAGCAAATTTACATACGGTTTTTTAATCTTTGTGATTCAAACTCCACGCCTGAAGCAGTGCTGGCCTAATGCTCTCACCCAGTTGAAGCATCAGCTTCTCAAGCCACATGGCCATCTCTGCATCGATCACCAGTGTGTTCAGGCGCCGGGTCAGACTTGTGCTTTACTGGCCATGCGGTGCCACAAGATGTCGTTGCTTCACCGTGCTGTGTCGCACCGCGCCACAGGACTTGGACATGGTGTTCAGCCGCATCCTGGATGTGCACGAGCTGACCGTGAAGCTGCTGGGCCTCATGGAAGACACGGTGGAGATGACAGATGAGAGCAGCCCTCACCCGCTCGTGGGCAGCTGTTTCGAGGACATGGCTGAGGTGACAACGCTGGCTCACTCGCTCACCTGCTCACTTGTTTGCCTGCTCGCTCACCTACTCACATACTCGCTCACCGACCACCTGCTCACTCGCTCGCCTTATTCTACTACTCACCTCCTCAGTCGCTCACTCACTCACTTGCTCACCTGCCCACTCTCTCACTTGCTCACCTGCCCACTTGCTCACTTGCTGACCTGCTCACCCATTCACCCATGCACACTCACCTGTGAAAAATAACAATCAATGTTCCACCACTGCAACTTCTGTGCCAGCCTTGTTACATTCCAGGCGCCCTCGTTTAGCAATGAAAGTTTACTGATGGGGTGGGTGGGGGGGGGTGTCAAGGGACATGACCTGCATTTGCTGGAGTGCTGAACACTGGCTGATAGAAGGTTACAAAACAAATGTGCAGCTGTAATTGCTGCAGTGATGATGACTCCCTGACAGGATACCTTGGCATTGTGGTCATACCGTAGAAGACTCGCAGAAAGGTCACAGGACAAACAACCCATGAATTGTGGGTGGAGGGTTGAAAGCTTGTTGATCGGGGGTCACAGAAAACATGCGTTGAGTTGGGAGAGCTTTTTCTCGGTTTAGACAAAAAACTAGCCGCAATGCAGTGTAGTAAGAAATGTTTGAATTGAATTGACGACGTTAATATATGTTTTTTAATCTCCACCCTCTCCTCCATGACTAGGAGCAAGCGTTTGACCCCTACGAGATCTACACGCAGGAGATCCTGCGCTCTGGCTACCACGACCACTTCCTCGGCCTCATGTCCAAGCCTGGGGCCGCAAACTACCTCCGCGTGCGTCCCGATCCCACGGCCCCACACACACCCTGCCCCACCCCCCACACTGCCTCACCACCCACTTCCCTACACACACCCACTCTTGTGTGATCTCTTCAGAATTCATCGCACTTTGTATACAGCTTCATCTCTTTTAACGGCTCATTCTGTCTGTGTCTGCATGCATACGTTTGTGCGTGTACATGGGTGTGTGTGGGTGTGTACGTTGGTGGCGTTTACACGTGTGTGTGTACGTGGGTGTTTGTACACGCGTGTGTGTGTGGGGAACGATCGTGTAGCGGTTAGCGCGCTACACTATGAACCCAGGAACCCGAGTTTGATTCCCACTCACGGCCAACACCAGTGACGATTCTCTGAACCAGTCCTAGGCCTCCCCTAGGTCGACTCGGCCTCAAATGACTACCTGGTGCGGTGTGTAGTAAACATCGCCACTGGGGAGACAAAAGCTGTCGGACGTAGTACTGGCCACCCCCTCGCGTGCCTTTCTTGCCTTCATAGCTGCTCGCTAACAGCACTTGCCCCAACAATCTGTGATGGCTATATGGGGCATTCTTTGTGTTTGTGCGCTGGTGGTTTTGTGCATCCCTTAGTCGATTGGTGAGGGCTTCAAGGAGGCAGTGCAGTACATGCTCCCGCGTCTGCTGCTGCGCCCGATCTACCACTGCCTGCACTACTTTGAGCTACTCAAGGTGGGGCGGCTGCCATTGGTCACCTGACATCGCACTCTTGCACACTTGCTGATGTACACTCATGTTAACACTCTCGCTTCAGCACCCTCACTCTCACAGCACGCACGAACTCTCATCCACATTCACTCTTACACACTCACTCACCGACACGCTGACCCACTTACTAAATCATTCACCCCCTCAACTCAATAAATCCTTCACTCAATGACTCAGCCCACGCACTAATTCGCTCATCTCACGCAATTGCTGACACGCTATCTTACTCACACTCGTGCTGTCCCCCACAAACAACAGTTTGCTAACGCGACAATCATTCATCCATCGTGTCATCTCTCTGCCTCTCTCCCCGCGTGTGTCTCGTCAACGCTCCCACTTTCGCCATCCCTCGCCGCCCGCCTCTCTCCCTGCGTCACCGTGCGCAGCAACTGGAGGAGAAGAGCGAGGAGGAGGAGGACCGCGAGTGCCTGAAACAGGCCATCACGGCACTGCTCAACCTGCAGAGCAGCATCGAGCGCACTTGCGCACGCCACCTGCCCAAGCGCCGTCTCAGGTGAGCTGCCTCCTCTCTCTCTCTGTCCCTCCGCACAGGCTCTGCGACTTGGATCCGTGTGCCTCCCCCGCTCCGTGCCGGTCTTGGGGTGGCGTGACTCGTACTGCTCCCCCCCCCCACCTGCTGGTCAGTGCAGTGTTGGTGAAGGGGAGTGCTCGGTGGTGAGCGGTATCTGAGCCTTACCTCGTTCTCCTCTAACTCGACTCAAATGACTGTCTGGCACAACACTGGGCAGACAAAAGTGGCTGAGCATACACGGTGCACACTACAACACCACCCCCTCCTAGTCAGGCTGGCCTCAGCAGGCGTTCACTAAAAGCGCCTGCCTCCACAATCTGTGAGTCTAATCAGGCGATCTCTGCCTTTTTGTTGTACGCGTGCACACGTGTCGTCGTTGCCCCTGTGTGCGCCCGTGGTGGTGCGTGCGTGCGTCCACTGCTCCCCCCCCCCCCCCCTTGCGGCCCACCTGCCCCGTTCCCATGATGCCGCGGGCACCAGCGAGCCGGCGCACCGCTTCTACATGAGCCCCATGCGCAGCAAGCACCTGGCCCTGCGGCGCATGCACGAGATCCAGAAGAGCATCGATGGCTGGGAAGGCCGCGACATCAGCCAGTGCTGCAGCCAGCTGCTCACAGAGGGGCCCCTGGCGCGCGCCGGCGCCAAGCACGAGCGCTACGTCTTCCTGTTCGACGGGCTGCTCGTGAGCTGCAAGCCGCTCGGCCACCACGGTCCGCCGCGCCTGCCGGGCTCCAGCAGCAGCTCCGAGTACCGACTGAAGGTGGGCGACCGCGGCGGCGGGGGGGGGGAGAATGAGAGGATGGGGAAAGGAGCAACGCGAAGGTGCTCGCGGTGGAGTTTGTTTGGATGCTGGCGTGCGGTTGTGCGCGTCACTGCGGTGACGTCATCTTCACTTAGTGGAGATGGGTGGCTGCTGTTGTTTTTGTTGGTTTATTATATTTATCGAGGTTGGACTTGTGTGGGGTCCCTTCAGTGATGTCCTTTGGCAGGCGAGCATAAATTGGCTGAGTTGACGGGGTCGGTTGGAGCATGCACGTAGAGGTCTTGCTTGGCTGGGCTGACAGGGTGTGGGCTAGACAACATTGGGACCTGGAGTTGAGCGCACTGGCCACAACAAAGAACGCAATTCCACGTAGCTCAGGTCCGAGCGATGGAACCACTGGGCTCGACTCCAGGTCCCAGCCACCTGTGAGTAACAGATTCAGCCTGGGCACCAATGATTGCACAAAAAATAACACCTCCCAACTATATTTTCACTCGGATAAATTCCAGTTACACAACAATCACTGCGGCTGCCGGCGCCCAGCGACTACCGCTTGCTTCGACTGCTGTGCATTGAAAATGTTTCTCTGTATCAGGGCATTTGAGGGAAAAAGTGCGGCACCCGCTGATTGTGAATAAAAAGGTCACTTTGAAGACACCTCAGTACTTCTGTGGAATCGCAAACCACTGGTTGTTGTGTAACATGCGCGTTTAGTCACCGCTTTGCTAGCATTCCGAATACTTCATCTCACGTCATGATACCAGTGTGCGCACAGTCGGCATTAAAAACATCGGCGTAGTTCTCACTGGCAGTGACCTAAAACCTGCCTCGGACGATCCGCTGTTGCCCGCCGCACAGGAGAAGCTGCAGGTGCGCAAGGCGCGCATCACGGACAAGGACGACTCCTCCGACTACCGCCACGCCTTCGAGATCACGTGCCGCGACTCGGACGGCGCCTCGGGCCTGGCGGGACTGCCTCCCGGCGGCCCCGGCGTGGCGGCCGGCCTGGCCTCGGGCGGCGTTCTCTCTTCCGCCGGCAGCCTCCTGCCGGGCCTGCCGGGCGGCGGGGGCGGCGGCGCGGGCGGAGGGCCCGGCGGGGGCGGGGGGCTCGGCGGCGGCGGCGGCGTCTGCATGGTGAGCGGCGGCGTGATGATGATGGGCGGCGGCGGCGGGATGGGCGGCGCCGGGATGATCGTCATCGGGGGCAACGGCGGCTACGGCTACGGCGGATCGGGTGGCGGAGGAGGCAGCGGTGGCGGCACGTCGATCGTGTTCTGTGCGCGGACGGCCGACGACAAGGACGCGTGGATGGCGGCGCTGATCGCGCTGCAGTACCGCAGCACCCTGGAGCGCATGCTCGACGCCGCGCTGGCGCAGGAGGAGAAGGAGCGGCCGCTGCGGCTGCCGGCGCCCAGCGACTACCGCTTCGCCCTGGAGGACTCGGACGAGAACATCTTGTTCGAGGAGAGCGTCCAGGCCAAGTCGGGCATTCCCATCATCCGCGGAGGCACCGTGCTCAAGCTCATTGAGAGGCTCACGTACCACATGTACGCAGGTACGGAGACGGCGGCAGGCTCGTCCTGCGATCCAGCAGTCGAGGAGGGTGGCGTTGGTGAATCTCGTGCGGATTGTAGTTCCTTCTGTGTGCTTTTGTTCACCTTCACGGTAATATTTTTCTTGCGTGTAGATCGCTCGCAGTCCCGCGGTTCACCGCTGCTTGCAAGCGAGCGTTGGTAGCTCACAAGCATTTGCCAAAAGGAAAAACCCCCTGGGTTGAGAGGTAGCCAGGAGATGGCAGTACAAGTCTTTGAGTGTTATCTCCTGCCACTCCCTTAATGTATGTATGTTGAACTTATTTTGCTGGCAAAGCATCCCAATGCAGACTCGTCCTGAAGGTATTTTTTTCTGCGTAATTAAATTTAATCACCAATGTTGTTAATCACAATCTTCAAAGCAAAGGCCCTTGGCGTATAATATAAAATGGCCAGGAACGGACACAGCTAGAGTAAGATCGTGTGTAAGAGTCTTTACGTTTCTTGAATTGACTCCGGTTATAACCACAGCTTGCAGTCTTGTGAGTTTCTGCCTTCAATCGCTTATCACTTTCCGATTCGCGTTGCTGTCTGAAGCCACGTTTAGTCCTCGGCGGTTTTTCAACGGTCATCGATCGCCAGGATGTGGGAATCCTGGCGATCGATGACCGTTGGCGATGAGCTTGTGATGGTCATCCCTGACAGCGAGCAGGTGCCCGAGGGCGACCACGCCAGTGCTTCGTGCCGCCAGATCTTCATAGCCTGTTTGTGTTTTTTTCTCCGCACAGATCCAAACTTTGTGCGAACCTTCCTGACCACGTACCGCTCGTTCTGCAAACCCCAGGAGCTGCTGGATCTGCTCATCGAACGGTGAGGAGGCTGCACGGTGGTGTCGTAGAGAGTTGCGTTCTGGCGAGGGCTAAATATTTGCTTTCGTTCGGTCTCGGTTGCGTGTCCGTGATCGTGAACACCACGCTCCCTCCAACAGCAACCGCACGATCCCATGTGCCAAGCATGTGTTGGTGTTTGAGCGTTACTCTTGCAACAGTTCAGGATGGTAGACCAACACTATCATGTTCGGTTTAAGTGTTTCTCTCATTAAATATCCACACTTCCTTATATTATTCGTAAATGTAGCATTATGGTGAACACATTCTTTTAGGTAATAGTCTAAATTGAATGTGATTGGATCATTTGTGCACCAGTGAATTTTCCTAACTAACAGGTTGTCTAGATTCAGTTGTCTGTAGTTAACATTCATACGTGTGATTGGTGAGCATCACACTAACAAACAGGAGTCGCTCGCCGCAGAGTGAGGTTTAACGCGTTCCTTACAATTATCCGCCATGAACTCAAGCTGTTGTCCTCTGCAAGCCCGTGATGTTTAGCACTTGCAATCGACTGGTTGTTGAGGAGCGCTCTGTGAATGAATCGATGTGTTGATGACGGACGGGCGTGGGCGGCGTCGTCATCTTGTGCGAAGTCGCCCGTCATTACCTGTCGTCGTCATTGCCCGTCGTCGTCATCGCCTGTCGTCTCCGCAGGTTCAAGATCCCCGACCCAAAGCCGTCAGACGCCGACCGCCTGGCGCTGGAGCAGGGAGAGCAGCCGATGAGTGCCGAGCTGAAGCGCTTCCGCAAGGAGTACGTGCAGCCCGTGCAGCTCAGGTGAGTCCGCCCCGAGTGCCCGCGTGCTCGTCGGTGCTCCGGTGCTCTCGCCAGCGCTGGTGGTGGTCACCGATGAGGCCGATGTGAGTTCTGTTTGGCCCTTAGGGGCCTTAGGAATTGTGGGAGTTCTCTTTGTAGCTGAGGGACTGGAGGAGTCCTCCAAGTCCTCGTACGGCACTCGGAGCGTGAGACTGTAAGGAGTTTAGCCGGTATGGTGGCACCTGCCACTGGTCTGGTACTTGAGAGACGAGGATTGGTGGATAATACAGTTTTGTGAAACTCCCAAGCCGGCTGGGCTGTAAAGAAGCCAGGAGATCACATCACAACAAATTGATTATTTAATCCATCTGTGTGAGGTTTTTAGTGTTATCCCCTTATATGCCTGGGTATTTTCAAGGTTCTCTGGTCTCCTCACATATGCCAAACATTCATAAATTAAAAACATCCCAATCCTGGATTTTCTTGAAAAATTCTTGAGACTTGAAATCTTCAAAAAGTCTTGATGATTTCTTGGAAAAATAATAAATAGCAGGCATCTACAAGTTGTGGAGATTTTCTTAATGCTCTCGGCATTAATAGTCCTGGGGTTTTGTGTTTAAGCCTCTGCAGTTCCCTTTTCGCTCTGGGAGAAATCAGAATGCTGGGTTTTATCTTAAAGCCTGTGGGTTTCTCGAATGCCATCTGAGCTTAACCAGTTCTGCTGACTGCCCGTATTTATCGGTCGCTAGAACGTGGAGTCGTCGAAATACCCGTCAATCGTTGGGCGTGCCGCCCTGCGGGCAACGGCGCAGGCCGTGGTTGGTAACCGCCGTCGCGATCTGCCGTGCCGCCGAGCAGGGTGCTGAACGTGTGCCGCCACTGGGTGGAGCACCACTTCTACGACTTTGAGCGCGACCCGCAGCTGCTCAGCACCCTGGAGGACTTCATCCGGGAGGTCCGGGGTGAGTGGCGCCCACGGCGCGTTTGTGCATGCGTGCTGAGTGGGGGCGTGGCGGGGGGGGGTGGGAGGAGAGGTCACAGGGTCGTCAGATCAAATGGGAGTGAGGTCACAGGCAAGTGATGTCACGCGAGAATGAGGTCGTGTGCGTCACACAGGAGTGTGGTAATTCATAAGTCAGACAGTGACATCATGACTTGACTCTATCACATAGCTTTACTACTTCTAGTAGAAATAAAACGAATTCCATGGAATAATTGAGCCAATGGCTTCTGCAGCATAAGGCACGTGGAGCATTCCCACTGAATCATCGTGTTCATGTATCTCAGGGCCCCTGACGTCATCTTGTCGTGCCTGACGTCATCTCGTCGTGCGGCTCGGAAAGTGACATTATTGCTCATAAAATACTTCCAAGATAAAATGCTTGTTTGGAAGTCTTTACAGAATCCATGCGTAGGCAAGATTTTTCATCCTCATCTGGGAATCGCATCGTTCTTTAAGTGACAGCGGCGGTGGTGGCGGCCGTGCTGTTAACCGGCAGAGCCCGTGCCTCCGCCCCCTCCCAGGCAAGGCGATGCGCAAGTGGGTGGAGTCCATCACCAAGATCATCCAGCGCAAGACGCAGGCGCAGACGCAGCCCAACGGGCCGAGCCACAGCCTCACGTTCGAGAGCTCCCCGCCGCCCGTCGAGTGGCACATCAGCCGGCCCAACCAGGCGGACAGCTTCGACGTGCTCACGCTGCACCCCATCGAGATTGCGCGCCAGCTCACGCTCATCGAGTCCGAGCTCTACAGGTGAGCGGCGCCATCGGCGGTGGTGCCCATCATGATTGCGACGGTGGTAGGGCGGCCGCCAGCGGCGGCAGGAATGCCCTTCCTCGTGGCGCGCGTGCGAGGCGGCGGCGGAGGCGGCGGCGGAGGCGGCGGCAGAGGCGGCGTTGCTATCGAGGGTGCTGGCGGTGCAACCGCACCGTGGCTATTTTGCGTAAATAAGTCACTGTTATTATTTCCCTTGTACACCCTGATCAAAAGTATACCACGTGTGTGTGCTCCACGCAGGGCGGTGCAGCCCTCTGAGCTCGTGGGCAGCGTGTGGACCAAGGAGGACAAGGAGATCAACTCCCCGAACCTACTGCGCATGATCCGCCACACCACCAACCTCACGCTGTGGTTCGAGAAGTGAGTGAACCCCACCCACACCGTGCGGAAAAGCCTTGACCCCCACGAGCTTTTATCTTTAACCCTCCACCTTGTGGATTTTAGCGTTAATGTCAACACGACTCGTAGCAGTGTGGTGGCGCTTGCCTGCGATGCGGTGCTTTAGAGGTAAGGGAAAGGTTGATGAATCGCGAATGTTGGTGAAATTCCCAAATTTCACTGAGCTGTAGGGAGGCCAGAAGGAGATGGCAGGACAGCAAATAAATAATCGAGTCTCTCTGCAGACATTTGAATGTTATCCACTTGTTTGTGTGGGGTCTCCCAAGTCCTCAGGTTTCCTCCTTATGCAAAACACTATAGAAATGTACCAATTAACCCATTGTAACACTCTCCTGAAAAAAAAGTTTTCAGACTGAGCGAGGCTTTCCTGGATAGATAACGTAACTTTATAATATTAATAGCAACCACTGCTTTTGGCCAGATCACCCAGGAATTTGACTAATCTCTTCGGATCTTGGAAACTAAGCAAGGTTGAGCTTGGACAGTGCTTGGATGGGTGACCACCTTGATAAAAGGTTGTGGACCTGCGTTATAGGCAGCAGTAGGCAGTGTAGCAAAATCCATTGTACCGTACTTTTAAACTCCCAAATCTTTGCTCTCTGTTTTCACCAACCCTTCACCACCAGTATGGTGAGCTTTGGTCAAATAACCTCGATAAGCCACACGGCGTGGGGAATCCCTCGTCCAGGAGCGGATTGACAAAGGGCTGTACACGTACAATATGACTACCCAATATTTGTATACCATTAATTTGTACCAATCCTTCTGCTCGCTGTAGACTTTGTCTCCGAGTCTCGGGGCCGTCTCCTCTTTCCGCTCTGTAGCCGTGTTGTGTCCGTCATCTCCTCTTATGCCACTTCACACCGCTCCCATCCCTTGTCCGCCTGCGCGCTTCTGCCCGGGGGGTCGTTGCACGCAGGTGCCTCGTGGAGGCGGAGAACTTTGAGGAGCGCGTGGCGGTGATGACGCGCATCATCGAGGTGGCGCAGGTCTTCCAGGAGCTCAACAACTTCAACGGGGTCCTGGAGGTGGTGAGCGCCATGAGCTCGGCGCCAGTCTACCGCCTGCACCACACGCTCGAGGTGACGCCCGCGTGCGTGTCCACGCGTGCCCGCGTCTGTGTAGTCCGTTGGGTACACACGCCGAGATTTCCTGCCCCCGGTGACTGTGTTGCCAACTCCTTGCCCATGTTCAAGTTCAGACTCGAGACTCTTGTGTGTGCCCCAGTGTGCCTGTATGTGATCACATAGCAATACTTGATTTGGTTGTTGTGAGACGTATCAGTTTAACGGTCTCGGAACTTGTCTCAGACCTCCGCTCGGCCAGTAATCCTTAAATGGGCGATTTGGGTCCAATATTTGGATATATAAAGGTGGCTGGCCATGTGTGGTGCTGGCTCTGAAATTTGACTTGTGCCATACTGGCCTTAAAAAAGGGGCTCACAAACAACATTTTCTTGGACCGTTTTTCCAGGCTTTTAAGGGCAAGCGCACACGTGTGCGTGCATTCTGTACGTTGATACAAGGCAACTTTGATCGTTGCATCAGAATTCCCTTGAGAGCTCTATTCAGGTTTCATTGGTGAGTGTGTGTACGCGCGTCTGCTGCACTGTCTTGTGCGTGCTCGCTCACTCTTCCGCCCGCTCGGGCTTCATTCGTTCTCAGAAAGTAGCGGAGAGCAAGAGGAAAGCGCTGGATGAGGCGTCGGAGCTCATGGACGATCACTACAAGAAGTATCAGCTCAAGCTGCGCTCCATCAACCCGCCCTGCGTGCCGTTTTTCGGTACGACCCCGACCTGAGATCGCCTCTGACCCCCGCAGCGAGCTCCCCCGCCTTCGTCTTAGTCCCGTCTCCGTGACGATGACCCGTGGGCGGTGCCCATCGTCACTGGTGGCCGTCAGCCAGTGGTGGACATTTCATATTATTGTGGCCGCGACCAGTCGCTCTCTCTAGGACGGCCACTGTTAACTTCCAACAATGGGGTACTTATTTTAGCAACCCTTTAGGTGGGATTAGCTGAGTCGACTATTAATTATGCAGCACGATCACTTCCTGCAGTGGTTGGTGTGATTTTCGTTTTGTAACAATCCCACGCAGGAATCTACCTTACGAACATTCTCAAGACGGAGGAGGGAAACCCAGACTTCCTGAAGCGGCACGGCAAGGAGCTCATCAACTTCAGCAAACGTCGCAAGGTGGCGGAGATCACGGGCGAGATCCAACAGTACCAGAACCAGCCGTACTGCCTGCGCACCGAGCCCGACATACGGGTGAGTGGCTCGTGCGCACACACACACGCGCACACACTCTGGCTCAATCACATACACACCTGCTTACACAAACACAAAGATCCCCCCCAGTATAGCCTCTTACAGCCTGTTGGGGTAAGTGCTATGAGCAAGCACCTACAAAGGCCAGAACGGTATTACACGAAGGGGGGGGGGGGGTGGTAGGTTGGCCTGCATAACGCCCGGCTGCCCGAGTGGAGATGTATACACACACCATACCAGGTTCTCATTTAAGGTTGAGTTGACCTAGGGGAGGTCCAGGACCCGTTCAAATATTCTAAATTTTTATTACTCATGAGTGGTAAATGAACTCGGGTCTCTGGATTCGTACAGCAGTGTGCTAACCACTACACCTCACGATCACAAACCATATGCGCTGGTCACACACTGCTCCTCAACTGAAACTCCCATTTATTGCTTTGGGGTCTGCTGCCTGGATATTGTCTCTCCACGTGCTCTTATTCAGTATCCAACCGTACCCTCCCATCTCACCCTCGGTCTCCCTCCACTCCTAAGCCCTGCACCGGTAGCATCTCCACAGCCCTTCCCATTGCATCTTCTTCGACTCCTCTCAACACGTGCCAAAACCATCTCCAACGTCTCACCTCTCCGATCATTTTGGGACCCCCTTTGCCAGCACTAAAATATGATAATAGGTTTTTCCCCTTTTTTCTGGCAACAAAACAGCTGTGTTAAGATATTCATATTCACGTGACTTTACCGAAAGAACCAAGAATATGAATCCCTGCAGCCACGAAAGCTTTAAATAAAAATTTAGGTGTTAAGATGTTAAAACACCAAACTGAAACCTTTTACAAGGAATCATGTCTGCATTAACCACAATGCTTGTGGTCTGATCATCTTTATAATATTATAATATTAATAATTCCTGCTCGGGCTCAAACTCGTTAAGTCTTCCTCCTTTCCCTTCTCTAGATTCCAAACATCTGCCTCGGCCTTCTTATCTCTGTCCTTTCTCACACCCTTCTTTGTTCTTTGCGAGTATGCTTGTATGTATGTTGAACTTCTTTCGCGTCGTGCGTAGCCAACCGTGCCAATCGCGCGCTCTGAATTGTCGGCGCGTGACCTCGCGGGCGAGGGTGGGGCGGCTTCCTCTGACTCTGCTGTTGGGCCCTCACAGAGGTTTTTTGAGAACCTGAACCCGATGGGCAACATGGAGGAGAAGGAATTCATGGACTACCTCTTCGACGAGTCGCTGAAGATCGAGCCTCGCCACGCCAAGCAGCCCACGAGATTTGTGAGTGCCCGACGCGCGGTGCGCACGTACACGCGTGTACACGCACGCGGCCTCACATCTCCTCACGCCAACAAAACGTGCACCCAACGGCCGCGTGCGTCAACGCGAGCTCGCGCGCGTCGCCACGCACGTGGTCGAGACTTTACATACAGTACGTACAGCGGCTCAGCACAGTCGATGCTCGTGATCACAGTTTTAAGGGAGAGTTTCTTCGTTTGCTTTGCTACGACAAATTTTTGTCATAACACGGAAGCCGAAGTTAAAAATTGCAAATAATTTTAACTGCGTGAAGATGTTTATGACGGTGCGATCACACTGGCAGTGTGACGGATGCGAGGGCGACCGTATCGACGGCACCGATCCAACTGGCGAGGTCCCCATCCGTTCTTGACCCGGGGTGACCCCTTTCGCCCGCGCCTCCACAGCAACGTCGCACGAATTTCCCGCTGAAGTCGCCGGGCATCCGCCCGCGGCACACCTCCGCGTCGGGCACGCTGCGCGGGCACCCCATCGCGCTAGAGCGCGAACCGCGCAAGATCAGCTACAGCCGCATCCCTGAGAGCGACGGAGAGACGGCGGGCGCCGCCTCGACGCCCAACTCGCCCAACACGCCGCTCACGCCGCCACACTCGGCCGCCTCCGACACGGGCTCCGTGTTTGGCGAGGGAGAGAGCTCCACCTTCCCGACCACGCGTGAGTCGACACTCGGCCTGCGAGCTACGATGTGGCGGCGGTGGTGGTATTGGTGGTGACGGTGATGGCATTGGTGGTGACAGTGGTGGTGACATTACACAGAGCGCATCACATCGCTCAGTTTTATATCTAGTGTCTAAATGCAAGTCACATCTCAAGATACTTTTACAATTAAATAACTGAGTTGGCCGTTATCCAGCAGTAGGATTGACAAAAGATCTGTATATCCACGTACACATTTGAAGCCAACACGTGTGTCGTTTTAATTGTAGCTGGTACGATCAGTCCTTTTTAAGTTGTCGATCTATCGACTCAGCTTTACTTGGTTTGCAAGACGCCTCGGTGCGCAGCCTTTCCTGGCGAAGGCTGCGCCAGAGCACGAGCGTGTGCCGCTTGCTGCCAGGAGAGAGAGAGGAGGGGGGATTGAGGGTGTTGGGAGGCCACGGTTGAGTGACCGCAGCACCCAGCGTCATATATTTGGTCTGAATAAAAATCGATGCATTTCTCTCAAGGTCTATGTGACCTGTGTTGCAAATGCTGCAGTCGCACTGCCCGTACTGACGTTTGCGTTGCCAGGAACGGTGAGAGTGCTCACGGCGGCGAGACGCGGTCATCGATGAGACTGTAGGTTGCGTTGTTAAGCGGCACCGGCTTCAGCGGGTGACTTTTGAGAGCCGCAGAACCGAACGCCGCCTCTCTCCTCTCCCCCCGTTTGTCCTCGCCCCCACCAAGGATCCCCGTCCATCTCGAGTTTGTCCCGGGCGGAGGAGTGCTGCGTGCCTCCACCCCTTCCCCCTCGGCGGCGTCCCGACCTCGCGCCCACCGAGTCCTCACCTTCCAAGGTAACAAATTGGCGTGCGCTTGTGTGCGCACGTGTGTGTTTGTGAAAGTGTAGTGGTTAGCACACTGCACCAGGAACCTGAGTTTGGCCAACATCGGTACCAAATATCTGAACCGGTCCTGAACCTCCTCAAGGTTGACCGGACCCTAAATGAGTTCTTGGCACGGTGTGTAAACACCAGCACTTGGGAGGCAAAGGGGGCCAGGTGTGGGTGCTGACGACACCTCCTTTTCATGTTACCATGCTGATGTCAGTATGTGCTCTATAACAGCATTTGCCCCTCCGGTCTATATATACACGTGCTTACCGTGCACGCTAACAGCACCTGCCCCAACAATCAGTTAAGGCTTCGCGGGATCTTTGCCTTTGTGTCCCCACGTGTTGACGCGCGCGCGTGGCCGTGCGCGCCCCGCCGGCGCCTCCCCCTCCCTCTGTCCCTCCCCCGCGCCCGCTCAGATGATGCCCAAGCCTCCCGATAGCCCCCCCGCCATCCCGCCGCGCCTGCCCACGCGCCTCTCCTACCACCGCTCCTCGCTGCCGCAGAGCTCCCCGCCGCCGCCCCCGCCGCGCGAGCCGCGCTCGCACACCCCTCCCCCCGTGCCGCTGAGGCCGCCCGAAACCTTCGTCAACTATCGCCCGCCCGAGTCCTTCGGCTCGGCCTGCTGCTCCTTCCCCTCGCTGCCCCCGACGCCGCCGCCGCCTCCGCCGGCCTCCACCACGACGACGACGGCGTCAACGACGACGCAGCCCGTGACGTCGACGGGCCAGCAGTCGCCCTTCCCGCTGGCCCCGGTGCCGCCGGGCCGCCTGCCGCGCTTCTGCAACCCGTCGTCCGCGCCGCCCCCGCCCCCGCCCCCGCCGCCGCCGCCTCCGCCGCTCAAGACGTTCCCGCAGAACCTCTCGTACCAAGACGCCGACGAGTTCCCGCCGCCCTCGCCGGGGCCGCCCCTGCCTCCGCGACCCACGCCGCCCGGCGGCGGCGTCGTCGCGGCCTCGAGCGGGGGCGCGACGGGATCCGGCTCGGCCGCCACCCCGCCGTCGCTGCAGTCGTCGTCGTCCTCCGCCTCCTTCGCCGCCTCCTCCTCCCCGTCGCTGTCGTCGCTCTCGTCGTCGGCGGCGGCGCCGTTCTCGTCGTCCGCGCCGTCCTCTGCGGCGAACGCGCAGGCGCCCCTGCCCAAGCTGCCCCCCAAGACGTACAAGCGCGAGCTGTCGACGCCGCCCACGCCGCGCGCGCGGGCAACCTCGCAGGAGGCCCCCTAGCGGAGAGAAAAAAACACACAGCCGCGAATCAAGACGGCGACGTGACATAAAGAAAAAAACACAAACTGTTGTAAAATAATCATAACGTTATTATGAATAATAATTATGATAGTAATAATGCTCATAATAATATTAGTAATAATTACGATAATATATAAAACGATCTTTAAAAATCAAGAGTTCGCAAACTAACACTGTCGAGAAGGCGGAAGAGCAGCAGCAGCAGGAGGAACGTGCGTTATCGTCGACCAGCGCCGAGCGCTGTAGCGTCGTCATCGTCTTTGAGGAGCGAGCGAGGACCCCCCCCCCCCCCGGCCACGGGGCGCCCAGACCCCCAGCCGCAAGCAACCCCAACCGCAAGCACCCTGCCCAACTTAAACGGCACAACAAGCCTGACGGTTTATTTTTTTATTTCTTTACGCATTTTGTATTTTATTTCTAATTAGTTTTTGTCGCAGATGATGTTCATGTTTTTTTGTATCGGTATTATTTTATTGGTCATGTTTAATTGTATTAATCTCAAACAAGAAAAAAAACATTTGTCCATCTGAGCCAGATACGGTTTTTTTGCTCAGTAACGAGCGAGCATGACGACTGTGAAATTCCGCGCAACTCAAACGGCCCGGATAGTTTTATTTTTGGTCGTTGGTGTGTTTTTAATTTTATTTCATACAAAAAAAATCACGTGTTTACTTTTTTTTATTTGTTATTGTACACAAATCGTGGCGGGGTTTCTTCCTCTCCGGCGCCTTTGATTTTGGTTCAAATGAGGCGAGCCGGGAAGGGCGCTCCCCGCGTCCGCCATCGTCGCGGGCCAGGTGGAGAGACGGCAGCCGGCCCTGCGACACTGCATGCTGTATCCTGTACACAATCGAACACCGCCTCTCGGGTTTGTTTTTCTCTTTGCTCGTTATTACAAAGGTTTCTTTTGATTTTTTTAATGTTCATAATGTTGAAATCACTGCGTGCGTCCGCAGCAAACTGGAGCAGTGCTTCGTAAAAAAAAAAAGCAAAACAAGAGAAGGTTCGGTTTGCATTTGAGACAAAGCCGAGAGCTCCGCACTCCTGAGTTGTCATCTCCGTGTGTCGGCGTCGGGTCCTCATCAGACACGCGAACGCCCGGTTCTGCCAGGGTCCTCGCAACGCCATCGCCTTCGCCGTTCCCATGCGGCCGCCCCCCCCCGTGGAAAAAAACTAAAATTTGTGATAAGAATTTTTATGAATATTTGTTCGGCTCGAAAAAAGAAAACTTGGCGCATCGTGATGTTGACTTGAAGCAGTGGCGCAGATGTTTGCGCCGGGAAATAGTGTCTGTGGCAGGAGCAAGAGAGATGAGAGAGGAGAGAGAAGAGAGGGAGACACAAGTGAGAGAGTCGAGGGATGATCGGTTAGGGACAGGGGGTGACTTGCACCGAGCACAGTTATCACGCATCTCCCCCGCCCACCAATACAAATGAATATTTCTTGTTCCTTCTCGGCTGGAACCCAGAGTAGCACCCATGGGCTTGGCCACTTTCAGCACAGGGCCGGGGGGGGGAGAGGGGGGTGTCAAAAGGGGTCTCGCGATCCCATCGTCACGACGGGGAGCAGCGTGCTTGAACCTCGCGCGTCCAGAGCGACTGCTCGCGGCCGCACGGGGAGGGGCAAAGCTTAAACGCAATCGTGGAGTTACAAAGAGAAGAGGAAACGTTGTTACCTTGACTCTGGGAAGGCACCACCGTGCACCGTAACCTTGAGCGTCGCGCTCGGGCGACGGAAAGTGGTGAGAAGGGAGCAGCCCTGGACCGGCAAGGAAGCTGCCGGAGCCTCGCGTTCTGTTTCGACAATGTAGGCACTTTTCCAAATGTCGTTCCTTTTATTTATTTCTTTCCATATATTTTTTATATGAACACTCAACCCCTGGTTTATCCATTGCCCTGCACAGCTCGAGTTTGTATGACACAGCCTTAACAGCCATTGTCTCTGGCTAAAATCCCACAGCGAAATTATATTTAGTTTTCTTGTTGTTGTCAGGTTGGGATCGACACTGGAACCAGAACCTAGCGCCGCAGTGTCCTTATTTAAGCCTCGTCTGTGTCCAGCGATTGCCATGACAGGTTACAGCTGGGGTTTCCTACGTTCAGTGTCGGCAGCACCCATGTCATTCACGATGAGAGCATCTTCCCCTTTACGGTTCGGTTTGCGGTGGAGAGCGGGGAACGTTCAACCCCGGAACGCTCAACTCCGGAACGGTGTCGTGTGCTGACCTACGAGCTGGCTGTGTTCCAAGGCCTCGTCTGCCCGTCGCCTTCAATGTCACGTTTTCTTTCTGGAAGCTTCTTGTGTCTGCCAGGTTGTTGGGAGGAGAGATGTGACCCCAGTGTGTACCAAGGATGCAAAATGTTTTAACTGCGACACGCACTCGCACAAGGCTCTTGACACAGCCTTGTGTTTTTATTGTCATTTTTTTTTCCCCAGCAACATTTTACAAAAGGGCCTGTCTAGTTTTTTTTCTATCGTTAATATTTTATTCCCAGATCCATTGATGAACATGATTATGTAATTTTCCTGACGGTGAAAGTTGCCGTAAATCATGCAGCGTTTGCGTTTTTGCCGTAGCCACGGACCTGCATATAAGCGACGTTATTTCTTACAGCGCGGGAAGAAAAATGTAATTAAATAAAATGAGGGAAAACTGCAATTTTTGTTTTGCAGAAAATGTTTCATTTTTTTCTGCTAAAACACAAACACCTCAACGGAGCTGATGTGCACACGGTCCTGTCTGTCGGAGGCGTCAAGTTGTTTCGAGACCCATGTGTCAGCGGACACCTTGCCACGTGCAGCTGGGCCTGAATCGCAGGATCGTTGCTCTGAATGCGCACCGATGAGTCTTGAGCCCAGACCAGTGTTCAACTTGTCGCTGCCACCCTGCGGTGGCATAACCTCGGCGGTTCCAATTTTTCGATGTGACCAACAACGGCGATAATTATTTGAAATAACAAATTTACATTTGTAAGGCACATTTTATCCGTAGATGAGTGGGTAATCAAGTGTCATGTAATTCACTGTTATTAGTATAACTAACTCAATACTAATGTTTTGGTAACTTATGTGGAAATGCATTCTGCTCTAGCCGATGGACCATAACGTTTCTGCTGAAATTGCACGGACGGTGACGCAGCAAGTAGAGAGAAAATCGGGCTTTGCACATGTGCCACGTAGTATGTGCGTACGTTGAATTTCTTTCCACACCGTACGTAGCCAACCCTGCTAATCGGAGGTGCGGGGGCTGGCGGCAAAACACTCAGCCCGGACCCGCCGTGCACAACGTTATCCAGCACGCTCGTGCGACCGTCTCGGGAGCGTGCGCGCCGGTCACGCGCTGTCGACCGACTGTCAAACGCCGAACGCCGTGGTGGCGGCCCGGCGTCGCTCGGCGAGCCTCGGCCAGCCTCGGCCACATCGATGCCTTTGCGCGCAGGAAGCATCTCCACTGCCCTCTCTCTCTCCGGCGCACCGCTGTGGCGGGCCTCGCACTCGCGGCTGCCTCGGGGTCTCTTGTCGCTTATTGCACCGAGCGGTCTCCCATCGACAAAGGTCGTGTTAGGAGTACTTGGGGAGGAAAAAAACGAGTGTGCTCTTTACAGCGCTTGGATGTCCACAGTAGCGGGCGCTGATCGCAGTGGACGAACACTGCGAGGAGGCTATTTCTAGGGAAACTCCTCGGTGTAAATTAATGCTTTTCCACCCATTCCTTGCCCGGCGAACCAGCGTACAGGTGCATACACACCCCCTACTCAGGTGGGGGTACACCTTTTATCCACCCCCTGGAGGTGGGATGATAGGTTGAGTCGAACCCATGGCCTTTACTATCTCGAGTACTTGAACCACCCTCGTGAATAAAAAGAAAACCGCTCGCGTTGCTTTGCGACGGAGGCAGCCCAACCGAGTAGCATTGCCTCCGAGCGGGTAGGCGTGTGCAGACAGTCGTTGCACAGGGAGAGTGCACTCGCCTTTATTTTCACTTGAACAAAATATTTTAAAACATCGTCAAAATCTCACGAGAAGTGCCGTAGAAAAGTGTTGTGTTCAAAATACACGCGGTTGTGGAAATCGAGCAAAAGTAACGCTCCTCTCTAATGTTACAATTTTGTAATGTTGATATTTCCCAGAATTTCACGCCCCACCTAGAAACAACTCGCACACAAATCCTCTGTGTAAATGCAGCCGTGCAACTCGCAATTAGAAGGCTGCAAAACTCGGTTTTGGAGTCACCCTGTCGCAAACGGTGGCTGACGGAATGAGTCTCCAGCAGTGGAGGTGGCGGAGGGGAGCGTGCCCCCCCCCCACACCCCTCTCGCGGCAGTCCTCTTCACCACCAATGGAGATTTGCACCACCCCCATGGTCACGTGCACGCGGAAAGAAGAACGGCACCGACGTTCTGACTCGTGAACGACTGCGGCGTGCTCACGGGAGCGTGTGTGCTGGAGGTGCCTGTCGAAGTGCTTTTGTTTGATTTTAACCGCGCGCGCCCCTGCCCCTCCCGTCGTCCTCGTCGTCGTCTCTTCGTGGCTGGGGAGGAAGCCGAGGCCCCTTGTGTCGCCTGGGTCACTTCCTCTCCCCGCGGAGCTCCGTGGTCGTGGCGTTGGGAAATCTGCGCGAACACAGCGCAAGGGATTTTTCGTTACCCTCGCGAAGGTGAGCGGTGGTGCAGTGGCTCGCGCCGTGAACCCGGCCACCCGAATTCTATTCCCGGCCACAAATAACATTAGTGGCGCGTGACATATATGTGAACTGGTCCTGGGTCCCCTCTTTACCAACCTGCACTGATCAGCGCGGTTAAGTTTGGTTAAACAACCCCTATTCTAGACACAGCATGGGGAGGACGTTTTCCAGTAGTCGATTCTAGTTGATTGACAATTGAATATAATAATTCATTTAACTTGGTGTTCAGAAAGAACCCAATTCACAAATTGGCAAATGCCTCTCTTGATTCTGTTTTTGACAACAACAACAACAACAAAAAATACATCCCAGCATCTCCCATCACCGACCATTCGACAATGCGATGAGTTTCGTGGCCAAGTCGCGTGAGTCGCACTCTCACTGTGCGCCCAACGGAGGCATCCCCCCCGCTCCCCCTCCCGCCGTGCGTGCGCCACCTGCTGCCCCGACTGAAGAAGCTGCGCAGGGATTCGCGGAGGCTGCCCTTGCGAGCCGGCCCCTCCATCGGAGCAGCCGGGGCAGCCGGGGCAGCCGGTGTCCCCGGGCCCTCGCGGTCCTTGCCGCGTCGCGCGCGCCGTCCGGCCGCTTGCGACCGCTTCGTCTCCGCGTCCCCGGAGGAGGCCGGAGCGGCGGCCGCCCCGTGGCGCCTCCGTCTCGGGCGGGCGTGAGCCTGGGTGGCGGTGGCGGCAGCGCGGCCCGACGGTCGCGGGAGGCCGCCGCCGGAGGAGGAGGAGCGCGGCGCGCCGTGCCACGGGGCATCCGCGCGAGGGTGAACCTGCAGCGAGCGCCTCCACGCCGTGTGGCGACCCCCCACGCCGCCTGCACGCACGGCACCGCTGGCGCGTCAGCACGAGCCACGGGGACTCGGGAGCGGAGCCTGGGCTTCGGTGACCGGGCAGTGACCACCGATGCCAGCTTCAAGTCGCCGCGGTATAACCGGTGCTTACCTTGAGCCGGGATTATAATGGACGACCGCACGTTGTACTCTCGTGGTAGTGCCTTACGCTGAGAAGCCCTGCTCCAAACCACGATGCCCAGCACACCGAGCCCTGCGCAATTACTACCCAGAGAGACCCCCCTCCCCACCCACCGTGCCCCCCCCTCCACACCCACCGTGCCCCCCCCTCCACACCCACCGTGCGCCACACCCACCCTGCCCCCCCCCTCCCCACCCATCCTGCCCCCCCTCCCCACCCACCGTGCCCCCCCCCTCCACACCCACCGTGCCTGCCCCCTCCCCACCCACCGTGCGTGCCCCCCCCTCCCCACAGACCGTGCCCCCCCTCCACACCCACCCTGCCCCTCCCCACCCACCGTGCCCCCCCTCCCCACCCACCGTGCCCCCCTCCACCCACCCTGCCCCCCTCTACCCACCGTGCCCCCCCTCCCCACCCACCGCGCCCCTCACCTCTTCCATCCTCCATCTCCACTCCCCCGAGCAGGGACGGGAGCGACCACTTGCGCATGGGCGGGGTGCGCGCGCCCGCCGTGGCGGTGCCGGCGAACGCCACGGGCGTGAGCACGCTGGCGTCCAGGCTGGAGCGCGAGCTGCACGGGGAGTCCCCCACGGCCTCCTCGGCGGGGCCGCTGCCGTCCGCCTCGTCCACGGCGCAGCGGTCGCAGGCGTGAGGAGGGAACGGGCGAGCGTCGCTCCCGGTCCCTGCGAGAAGACGGCCGCGACATTCTGATGCAACGACTTGAACACTATGGTGGTTGTTGTTGTGGTTAGTTGTTGTTATTTTACCACGCATGGCCCACTGAGCGACACTGTCTGAGCCCGTTTGCCTTCTCTCATGCAGCAGCCCAAATACTCTACAAGACGCGAGTTTTATAAAAAAAAAAAACCTAATCGGCCGTTGCCCCACCGTGGTCTTTGTGTGTGTTTGTGTCTTCTGTCGTTGTGCGTCGAGTCACGAAGCCACCCCCAACAGCCTCGACACGTCCACACATTGATCAGCATTGGTTGGAGCAAGCCTGGCTCTGCTGATGAGACCCTGAATGTTAAAACCCGTCCAGAGTTTGCCTGTTTTAAACCAATGCTGCTGAACATTATATTTGCAACCCCAGAAGGGCCACTAAGTTAATGGGATGTGTAAACAACCATACGGCACTGTGATATCAACTTGTTTAGTTAACAGCACCATCCTGCGAGGATTTCTCGTGGTGCGGGGGGAGCCCCTCGCTGCATCTAAAGGCCTCGGCGAGAACTGTCCTGCTTGGGATAAGCAGGACAGTTCTCCTTCACCAGGGTTGTTGTGTGTGGCTGCACATGAGTTTGTTTGCCGTTCTGCTCACTACGTGTGTGTGTGTATGCTGTGTGTGGGTATGATATGTGTGCGTAGGCTATGTGTGTGTGTATGCTGTGTGTGTGTGTACAGTGAGGGAAAAAAGTATTTGATCCCCTGCTGATTTTGTACGTTTGCCCACTGATAAAGAAATGATCAGTATATCATTTTAATAATAGATTTATTTGAACAGTGAGAGACAATAACAACAACAAAATCCCGAAAAACGCATGTAAAAAAATGTTATAAATTTGTTTGCATTTTATTGAGGGAAATAAGTATTTGACCCCCTCTCAATCAGAAAGATTTCTGGCTCCCAGGTGTCTTTTATACAGGTAACGAGCTGAGATTAGGAGCACACTCTTAAATGGAGTGATCCTAATCTCAGCTTGTTACCTGTATAAAAGACACCTGTCCACAGAAGCAATCAATCAGATTCCAAACTCTCCACCATGGTCAAGACCAAAGAGCTCTCCAAGGATGTCAGGGACAAGATTGTAGACCTACACAAGGCTGGAATGGGCTACAAGACCATTGCCAAGCAGCTTGGTGAGAAGGTGACAACAGTTGGTGCGATTCTTCGCAAATGGAAGAAACACAAAAGAACTGTCAATCTCCCTCGGCCTCGGCCTGGGGCTCCATGCAAGATCTCACCTCGTGGAGTTGCAATAATCATGAGAACGGTGAGGAATTGGCCCAGAACTACACAGGAGGATCTTGTCAATGATCTCAAGGCAGCTGGGACCATAGTCACCAAGAAAACAATTGGTAACACTACGCCGTGAAGGACTGAAATCCTGCAGCGCCCACAAGGTGCCCCTGCTCAAGAAAGCACATATACATGCCCGTCTTGAAGTTTGCCAATGAACATCTGAATGATTCAGAGGACAACTGGGTGAAAGTGTTGTGGTCAGATGAGACCAAAATGGAGCTCTTTGGCATCAACTCAACTCGCCGTGTTTGGAGGAGGAGGAATGCTGCCTATGACCCCAAGAACACTATCCCCACCGTCAAACATGGAGGTGGAAACATTATTCTTTGGGGGTGTTTTTCTGCTAAGGGGACAGGACAACTTCACCGCATCAAAGGGACGATGGACGGGGCCATGTACCGTCAAATCTTGGGTGAGAACCTCTTTCCCTCAGCCAGGGCATTGAAAATGGGTCGTGGATGGGTATTCCAGCATGACAATGACCCAAAACACACGGCCAAGGCAACAAAGGAGTGGCTCAAGAAGAAGCACATGAAGGTCCTGGAGTGGCCTAGCCAGTCTCCAGACCTTAATCCCATAGAAAATCTGTGGAGGGAGCTGAAGGTTCGAGTTGCCAAACGTCAGCCTCGAAACCTTAATGACTTGGAGAAGATCTGCAAAGAGGAGTGGGACAAAATCCCTCCCGAGATGTGTGCAAACCTGGTGGCCAACTACAAGAAACGTCTGACCTCTGTGATTGCCAACAAGGATTTTGCCACCAAGTACTAAGTCATCTTTTGCAGAGGGGTCAAATACTTATTTCTCTCATTAAAATGCAAATCAATTAATAACGCTTTTGACATGCGTTTTTCTGGATTTTTTTGTTGTTATTCTGTCTCTCACTGTTCAAATAAACCTACCATTAAAATTATAGACTGATCATTTCTTTGTCAGTGGGCAAACGTACAAAATCAGCAGGGGATCAAATACTTTTTTTCCCTCACTGTATGCTGTGTGTATGCTGTGTGTATGCTGTATGTATGCTGTGTATGTGTGTATACTGTGTATGTGTGTATGCTGTGTGTATACTGTGTGTATGCTGTGTGTGTATGCTGTGTGTGCTGTGTGTGTGTGCGCACTAACGCCGTGGCCGCGTGCGTCTCTGCTCGGCTCACAGGCGATGTACTCGGCGACGCACGGACCCAGGCGCCGCGGGGCCGAGGGGCTGCCCCCCTCGCTGGCCGGGCCCCCCACCCCCTGCTGGCTTTGGACAAGCGACTGCGAGCAGAGGGGGCCGAGGCCCCCCCCAGCTCCTCCCTGGACCCACAGCGCTGACGACGGCCCTGGCTGCGTCGCGGGCCGCAGTCTCACCAGCCTCGCCACGGAGAGACACAGGCGGGGAGATAAAGTTATTCGCAGAAGCCAAGCGGGTTTCAACCTGGTTGGCAAAGACCGTCAAGTGTTTGTCGATTTGGGCCGCAATTTGGCCGTACAGCCATGGATTCTTGAATCTATCTGTGTGGAACTTTGCTTGTTTTATCCCCTAACGTGCGCCGTGGGTTGTCGCAGAGGACGCACGATTCTTAGAGGAATTGGATCCTCCCGAGAGAAAACAAACGTGAGACTCATTGAAGCTTCCCTGGCTCAAGACAGGGCATTACGTTGCCATTTACACGGGCAGCACCCACTGCCGGAGACAAAGGGAGACGGAGAGTTGGCATCAAGATGGAGAGTTGGCATTCGTTCCTTAAATTGATTCTCATACCAGACAACACACGCACACACACACAATTACGTGCTTAAAACGAATAAATTCATCATTTGTACAAAATTATGCCGAAACAAATTAGTCCGAACGAGACAGAACAAGTGAGATCGACAGTGCAGTGTGCGTGCACAGACTAAACACGCGAGTTTTTATCCTTTAAGTTAACCAAAACAGCAATAAAAGCGCATTGGGCAAGAAGTCGTGAATCATCGCGGGCCCAAGAGGTGAACAATCCGGGTTGAGCCCTGGACCGTTGCTCTGACCGGCAACCGCCAAGCCGGGCCGGCGTCATCACCGTGAGGCCACGCGCGGGCAGCAGAGAGCAGCGCAGACAAACACTGCTGCACATCGCTGTACTCAACTCTACTATGCGCCCACCTATAGACGCTCCACACCTCGACCGACCCGCAGTGACCAGTGCGGCAAAGCGCCGTCAGACATCCCCCGTGACCTGCGACGGCGTGGGGCGGCCCACGTCCAGCGCAGCAGTGGCCCGACACTGGGGGTGGGGGGGGGGGGGGTCCCCCTCTGTGCCCCTGCGGCTCGCTCTAGCAGACAGCGCCAAGTTCAATGTTCTTCAGGGGGCATTTGCAGAGCGCTCCCGGGAAGAGAGCGCTCGGAGGACGAGGAGCGCGCGCTGCAGGGCCCACGCGGGCCCAGTGGCCGTGGGGCCCGCGGAAGCCGTGGTAAAGAGCGCCCGGTGGTTGCACAGTGGAGACGTTTGGGGGTTTGGCAGGAGAGAGCGTGAAGCCGCGGGTGTTGGGAGTTGGTGCAGCTGCCTACTGGCAAGGAGGGAGGGAGAGTCGATGTCCAGGCAGCAACTGGAATCGGAGCAACTCTAGGAGAGCGAGAGGGCAGCTCTTGAGCAATCGGTTGACGCGATGGGGAGATGAAGGTGCTCGGTTAAGACCCAGAAGGTGTCCCAGCGGAGCTTTCACAACAACAACAATCTGTCAGATGACCAATGTTGAACTCGAGGGGTCCACGTGGTCTTGGCGCTTTGCCTGCAACAAACCCCTTTCACCGCCTGGCTCCGCTCACCATCAGCAGAAATGTTCTTTAACCGAGTGATCCCCATCGATTCATCAGCCCCCGCGTTAAACAACAACAACAACCCCGCCTGGGAAGCATCATTGAGTCTCGAGACTCTTGAACGCAAGAAGAAGATTTGCGTGGTCTCTCATTGGGCTCAACCGCACTTCCTTGTGCTGCTTCCACCACTTATTTGACAGAGACCTACTTGCTGTACGTGTGTATACCCCCCCCCTTCATGAACTATACCTCCACCTGGGCCAGGGAGGGGATGAGACCCCAGCGGACCCCCGTGCGGTGGGGCCCGGAGCTCCCCCGTCCTGCAGGAGCCGCTGCTCCAGGCGGGCCTGGCGCTCCCCGAGCGCGGCGAGGCTCCGCACGACTCCCGACAGCTCGGCCTGCGGGGTGGCATCACGGGGACGCCGCGCACACGCAAAGGTCCCCCTTGTAGCCTCGACACACTTGGCGGGCAAAGTTGGCTGTTCGTTAACACCCCTGACGATGGCGGGCGCGGCTCACGTGGCTAGGGACCACCCCCGGCCGCCTTTGTCTCCCCCGTGTTTACGTTTACACGCCGCACCAGGCTGAGTCGACTTAGGGGAAGCCCGGGACTGACCAATTCAGACGTTAGTTTCTGATGCTGGCCGTGAGCGGAAATCGAACTCTGGCAGCTGGGTTCACATCGCAGTGCGCTAACCACTACGCCACCGTTCCCTGCACACACCACCACGTGCGAGCCACCGCGTCCCACCAACCCTTCCCGATGGGAGTCTCTACCCGCAGACAGCTCTCATCTTGTAGCTACACGCTTCGGCGGTGTGTCCCGGGCTGTCTGACATGAGTTTGAAACTCTGTTCGGAACATTACTATGTGGGTCGGTGCGGGATGGTGACGGTGGGTATACAGCGCCGAGGACTGGTACAGATATATTACTACTGACGCTAGCTCGGTGCGCTAACCAATGCGCCACCGCTCCACCCGATTATGACAATTATGATGTGTTTTTTTTATATTGTGTGTGGTTTTGATCAATTGCGTCAGTGATGAGTTGGGCTGTGAGTGGGTGAGTTGTGAATGGGTGAGCTATGAGTGAGTGGGTGAGCTGTGAATGGGTGAGCTGAGCTGTGTGCTGCACCTTGATGGAGGTCACGATGTCTCTGATCTCCGTCAACTTGAGCATGATCTCGGGTTCCCCGCTCCCTGGATCCATCTCCATCCTCCCCGAGTTGAGATCCTGGGTTCCAGGCAGGGGGTTCTCACTCTCAGTGTGAGATCTCCGCTCTTAGTACACCGTGGGGGCACTCGCCTGGGGAGTGGTGGGGGATGTCTCCTTCGCCCAATCTCCCTGCGATCAGCTCCGGGGTTGTCCTCCCGGCGAAGGCCTCAAACTCCCGAGGTGGTGCCGAGGGCTGCAGCTGCCTCCAGCGTCAGACAGGGACCGCGTGTGGCTCCCTCTCCGTGCGTCGAGGCGGTCACGAGCCCTCCCCCACCCCCGCCTCCCTATCTCGCTCGCTAACAGCACGCAGGACGTACTCCGCCGAGCAGAGTGCCCCACATGAATTAAATATACATCGCCAATGTCTGTCGTGGTTGCTCTTCGCTGTGCGCGCGCGCGAGAGCGCAGCCGACTCGCGGCACCTGCTACCCCCCCTCCTCCTCCTCCAAGCTCCCACCCCGTGTCCCTCGATCATCCACCGCGTGGTGAGAGAGTGACTTGCTCTCTCTCTACCCGTGCTCTCTCTATCCGTGCTCTCTCTATCCGTGCTCTCTCTATCCGTGTTCTCTCTATCCGTGCTCTCTCTATCCGTGATCTCTCTATCCGTGATCTCTCTCTATCCGTGATCTCTCTATATCCGTGATCTCTCTATATCCGTGCTCTCTCTATCCGTGTTCTCTCTATCCGTGCTCTCTCTCTACCCGTGCTCTCTCTACCCGTGCTCTCTCTCTACCCGTGCTCTCTCTACCCGTGCTCTCTATCCGTGATCTCTCTATCCGTGCTCTCTCTCTACCCGTGCTCTCTCTATCCGTGCTCTCTCTATCCGTGCTCTCTCTATCCGTGCTCTCTCTATCCGTGCTCTCTCTATCCGTGTTCTCTCTATCCGTGCTCTCTCTATCCGTGCTCTCTCTACCCGTGATCTCTCTCTCTCTCACGGCTGTGCAAGGTCGTGACCGCACGCCGCAGGAATGGGACGCTGCCGGCTCAGCCCTCCCCGCTCTCCCCCCCGTGTTTGTGTTTCGCTGTTTGGGAGCGCTGAGGCGTGATGCTCCGCTTCCCTTGCTCGCCATCGCATCTGAAAGGACAAAACAATCCGCCTCTTTCCCTCCCGAGTTCCACGCCGCATACTCACACACAGACACACACGCCGCGCACTCACAAGCGCACACAGACGTACTACAAAGGCAAAGATCCCCCGTGTAGCCTGAACAGTCTGTTGGGCCAAGTGCTGTTAGCGAGCCACTATGAATTGCCGGCACGGTACACAAAGGAAGTGGGTGGTCAGCACCACGCCCGACCGCCTTTGTCTCCCCAGTGGTGAAGTTTACACACCACACAGGTACTACACCCACTTACACGCAGACACGCACTCGCGAATGCACATTCAGTCAGACGCGCGCACGCACACAAGACAAAGATCCCCCATATAGCCTTCAACAGACTGGAGGAGCAAGGGAGTTGGTGGCCAGACCCACGCCCGGCCCCCTTTGTCTTCCTATTGGCGATATTTACACACCGGGTACAGGACTCATTTGAGGCTGATTCAACCTAGGGGAGGTCCAGAACCGGTTCAGATAATCATCACTGTTGGCCGTGAGCGCACACACACCCCAACACACACCGATACACACTCGCACACACACCGATACACACCCCAACACACACCGATACACACTCGCACACATACCGATACATATACACAATTGCACTCACACACACACCAATACACACTCACACACACACCGATACACACTCGCTAACACACCGATACACACTCGCACACACACCGATACACACTCGCACACACACCGATACACACTCGCTAACACACCGATACACACTCGCACACACACCGATACACACTCGCACACACACCGATACACACTCGCACACACACCGATACACACTCGCACACACACCGATACACACTCGCACACATACCGATACACACTCGCACACACACCGATACACACTCGCACACACACACGCTCACGCTGTTGGAGCAAGTGCTGTTAGCTAGCACCTATTGAGGCCTGGACAGCGATCGTGTTGGCGTGGCCAGCACCACGCCCGGATGCCTTTATCCCACCACTGCTGATATTGATATGGAGGCCCAGGTACTCAATTAAGGCTGAGTCGACCTAGGGGATGCACGGAATATGCTAATGAGTTTGGCCATGGTGGGAACCGAACCCAGGTCGCTAGATTCGTAGCGCGGTCCTCCAACCACAACACCACTCTTCATGGACACGTGAAATATCATTTTAAATACGATTTAAATTAGAATGTTAAGATCTTATTTCAGACTTCTTGTATTGCTTCGATGTATTTGGCGTTCGTATCACGTGCCTACGTTTGCGGCACTGTCTCACCAAGACTCCCGAGAGAGACTGTAGGTTTCATGCGGATTTTTTTGTATTTAAAAGTTTCACCTGAATCCAGTAACCCCTTGAGATGGAGCATCTCGTTTCCAAGCCGTGCCCAGAATCAAGCTCGGGTCACCGGCGTCAAAAGTGCAATGCGCTAACCACTGCGTCACCGCTCAATCCGAAAAGAACCAACCTCCTCTTTGTCCAGCTACCCAGATGCCTACAAAGACAAAGATCCCCCGTATAGCATTGAAGAGACTGTTGGGGCAAGTGTTGTTAGCGAGCACATATGAAAGCCGGGACGGCACGCGAGGAGGTTGGTGGCCAACACCACGCCGGGCCGCCTTTGGGGATGTTTACACACCGCACCAGGCGCTCTTTTGCGGCTGAGTCGACCTAGGGGAGGCCCGGGACCGGTTCAGATAATCCTCACTGGTTCTAGTCCGTGAGCTGGAATCGAACTCGGTTTGGTCGGGTTCGTGGCACGCGAAACGCGGCGCTTCCCGCTCCCCACGACGCCCAGACGCACGCACGCACGCGGACACGGCGCTCGTGTTTGCAGTTCCCAGGAGCCGCTCTGAATCGCCCCGTGTCTCTCGCACCGTCCCCAATCTCGCGAGTCGCTGTGGCGCAATGCGGAACATTCATTCTGCGCTGGGTGCGTCTGGCAACCACGCAGCGCCTCGCCGGGCAAGGTGCGGGGGTGGGTGTAAGACGGCGGGCTCTGGGCTCTGTGTGGACTAAGAGGGGCGGGGGGGGGGGGCTCTCACGTCGCTGTTGTTAGCTGGTGTTTGTCTTTCGTGGGGGGCGGTAGGTTGAGAATTTTTTTGTTTGAAATGTTTTAAACGGACAAAGGGGCCTGAAAAATGTTGTCACCTGGGCCCCCATTTGTATCCAAGGCGCTGCTTCTGGCATTGGCAACAGCGGGGTCGAGCATGGTTATAATATTCGTGGCTGTGTTCGATTAGCTGTGTATGATATTCAACAATACATTCAATATCCTTATTTAATATATTGTCAGTAATTATCGTCTCATGCCAATGTGGCGCTCATAGCAGCAACTCGGCCGTGCGGTGGCGCCTGTCTCCCCCCCGGTAGGGGTCAACCGGTCAGTGCTGCGGCTACGACCCGAGTTCGATTCAGGCCCACGGCCACCAACACCGCTGACGATTATCCGAATCGGTCCCAGGCTTCCCCTAAGTGGACTCGGCCTCAAATGAGTACGCAGTGCGTTGTGGAAACATCGCCACTCGGGAGACAAAGGCGGTCTGGGGTGGTTGCTGGCTACCCCACACCCGTATGTGCCGTGTCGGCCTTCATAGGTGCTACTCGCTAACAGCACTTGCCCCAACAGTCTGTTAAGGCTTTGCCTTTGGTACGTCATTATCACGCGTTTGACTCATGACATGAATGATCCGGTGATGCTGCTGCTGAGTTGGCAGTGGTGCACAAAGCACAGTTAACAACACAACTCACCAATAAAAAACTATATATAACAGTTGACGTTTCAAACAATGACCCTTCTTCGCAACACATAAAACAATAATTATTTGAAAATGTATAAACTTGAATGCCAGTGTTATGGACGAATCAATGATGCGTGTGTGGCTGAAACTTGAATTAAAACGCAGGGTCTCGGCACTGCCAGCACGGAACTCTTGACAGTCGAAGCAACCCCATCGCCTGACCACCACCTATATTCAGCCATTAACAAATGTAGTCACCCCCATGTAATTTATTGCAGTAGTTGTCTTGTCGAGGGACTGCCCCCCCCCCACTGGCGCAGAACTTCAGGTGGGTGTTGAAACATCTGCCCCTATGAGCAGGCAGAAGACGCTGGTACTTTGACCACACAGAGATTGGTCACATTGATGAATATTTGCCCAGTTGGTACATGGTCATCTGCATGAGACACCGACCCCGCTGGCTTGTGGGACCGAAGTTGAGACACACTGTGTGTTGCCCATTACGTATCCTCCACATCCTACAGGGTTCGTGTAGGTGGGCAGCATAGACATTGGCTAACAATACATTGCAGGCTTTTGCAGCGCTGCCCTCTGCTGAGAATGAAACCCTAAGCCAAGTCCACAGGGGCGTGCAAGCATCATTAGGGGTTAAAGCATCCGTGAAATGGTGAGGGCTTCTCACGGCCTCGAAAAAATATTCAAGGCGTTCACGAACGAGCCAAGTGTGGAGGGCTTGTCAGCCCAATGGCTATGGGTGCCGGATCCTGTGTGGTGGCCCCTGTGAGATGCGTTTCATTCACAGAGAACCGCGTTGGAGGCACTGGTAACAGCAGACGTCAGCCACCCCCCCACGCCCCCACCACCTCCGTGAAATTTGCATAAAAACACAGCGAACCTTCATCTAAGGTCCAGGTGCAGGCAGAATGCAGAGTCACGGCCCAGGCTCTGGAGGCAACCAAACGAAACCTTTAACACACCGACGAATATGGCACAATTCTTTGCTTTATTTTATTGAAACCCACCCTCCCCACTTCTCCATACAAAGAGTACTGTGCATCTCGTACAGGACGGACACATCGTCTGCTGTATCAATGTGCTACGCGTGCGCTGAGATCGATGAGATTTGGTTACTGACCACCGATGTGAATGTCCTTTGGCAGCGTGTACTACACAACGCACTGAAGAGTTTGTTTTCTGAACGTTTTCATTCTAGAATCACTCTAGAATCAACCGCAGGGGAGAAACACTGTTTTGTTTTGCCACAATAGTCATGTAATTTTTCACATTTAATTTAACATTAAATCAATTTAGAATTACAGCCTGCACTTTAAACAAACAGCACGTTCTAATACCATTGCATAGTTTACAATGAAAGCTTGCATTATGTTTGTATCGATGTTGAGACCAGAAAATTAATCGTTCATTATGGACAGTTATAAAATTTTACACCGTGAAAGTATTTTTTTTTTAACCTGTACATCATTGCAGTGCATGGTTCAGTTTCGCACAGCACACCTGTGTATCACACACTTGCGCGTCACACACTTGCGCACCATAAAGTTCCACGCGCGCCGTACGCTTGAAACGTCCAGCTCGGAGCCGTGCGAGCACACACGCTTGGCGCTATGCGGGGTTGGTCTCAGGCTCGCGGCCCTCGGACAGCCGGGCCTGCACCAGGCGGCGCACCCTCTCCAGGATGATCTCGTTGGCGCTGCTGCAGTCGTCGGGGCCGTACGGCGGCGCCACGCTCAGCACGCCGCCGGCCACGAGCAGCTCATCGCCTCGCTCCTCCACCGGCACGTGGTTCCGCCGGAGCCACACGAGCAGCGCCTGCCGGCGCGACGCCACCTCCTCGGCACCCAACGAGGGCCGGTGGCGCGCGGCGGGCCGGAAGAGCATCGACGGGCACTCGGACGTCGCCGCCGCGTCGCCCCCCGGAGCCCGAGTCTCGACCACGGAGCGCACGGCGTGGCCCATCACCGTGCACAGGGTCAGCTCGGGGCTCCCCGGCGACGGCTGGGTCACGAGCATGATGCTGCAGGGTAGGGGAGAAGTCGGTTAATCTCGTCCTTCCAGCACCCTTCAATCTGCTTGCACAGCTGAAGTCCTCCACATTGAGCCCTGATTACCTCGTGCGTATGGTCCTGTTCCAAGTCTCATTGACAGTCACGCTAATCTCGGAGACGGTATCGGCTGTAAAACACCGTCCAACTCCACTTTTCTTGTTGTGGCTCAAGAACCTTGGTATGGAGAGTGGTGCTGTCAGGTGAAGGGTGGGGAGCGGGACTGGTTGGGATCGAGGTCAAGCCACGGGCTTCCCTTGGGCACAGAACTGATTAACAGTTGGTTACTAGCCTCACTTCAGTTCCAACTTAACCAAGCAATGAATTCAAATTGTAGCCCTTAGCACTTAGCACTACGTCTAACTGCAACATTAATCTTAACGAGTACTCATCACAATCTTAACCGAATTAAAAACAGAAATCCAATCACTTACTTGATCTTTCAGAATTCAAATCACTCTTAGCTTAACCCTTAACCCCTAATGCTTACCTTAACACTATCGCTCAAGGCAAGGTCAAGAGTTAATCACAATCAATGCTGTTTATGCCACCACACCTCACCATCGCTTCCTTCTCAGAGTTGTCAGAAAATCAACAACTGACCTCGATGGCCGACTCATACGGCATCCTGCATCTTCCTTTAGGGTTGAACGGTAGTGCACGCAGTGACATGAGTTTAAAGTCCTGGCCATGGGTGTTTTTTGAACCAGTCATGGGCCTACCCTTCACCAGCCTACGCCAAGCAGTGTGATAAAGTATGGTCAAGTAACCCCAATCCAGCAGTGGATGGGCAATAGGGCCGTGCAAGTACGTGCACAATCCTGTATATCGTGACGGTACCTCACGGACGTGTTCACACCGCGCTGCAGGGTGGTCATCGTCCCGCGCAGTCCTTCATCCTGTGGGGGGTGTGGCGGGGTGGGTGTAGAGGGGTGGTGAGCGGGTCTCACCTGGCCGAGACGGGGTCCACGGTGTAGACCCAGCCCTCTCGCTGCACGCCCTCGTCCGCACACACGCGCACGTGCCTGTGCAGCAGCTCCTGCCAGCGCAGCGGGGACAGCTCGCTCCACGCCTTCGTCTCCTCCACCACCTCCAGCCCCCTCGTCTCTCCAGCCTGGTCGCCTTCTTTCACTTCCCCAACCTCATCGTCCGTCTCCGCCACCACCTCCATTGCATTTCCCTCCGTCTCCCGCACCTCGGCGTCCGTGACCTCGCAGGCATCTTTAGTCTTCGCAGCGTCTCCCATCGTCGGCATGTCTCCCGTCTCTTCAGAATCTCTCTCCGAGGCCGCTGCGCACTCAGACCGCACCGTGGAATTCATATTTATAAAAACGCTGCTTTGCATCGAGAGGGATAACTGGTCGGATACGCGGCCTCCGCTCACAATCGTTGACGCTTCGCGGCCGTGGAATCGCCGTGGCTTACGCCGTCAAGGTGCCGAGAACGCAAGTCGATAACAAAGGTGACATTTTAGCTTCTTGTTCATTTTTGAGTGGTCCGTTCATCACTTTGGAATTCATTTGGCGGATCATTTGGAACGCGTGTTGTCTACCAGAATTGTAAACCGTTGGGGCTGTCAATTGGCCAGACGATGGCAGTACAGTAAGGAGTTTGCTAACCTGTGAAGCAGCAGCAGCAGCCTTCAGAGTGTTATACTATGACGTGCGTGGACTTTTTTTCTCCCTACTTCCTCCCATGAAAACAATCACTGGACTGTACCCAATTGAGGCCATCACAACATCCCAGTACACAGGCCCCTCCATCACAACTGCGTCTGGAGACCCAACGATGTCGGCGAATAAACCACACGCGACGTTACTGCAATTGCCTCACTGCAATAATACACGTACGTTAGTTGAACCAGACGTGGGGACTTCATCATCAAACAGTGGATAGAACATGACGAACGCCGATGCGAATAACGGAGGCCCCCTATGGGAACGGGGTTTCATCACGGTCACAACAGTTGCACACACACGACGTCACCGACGATCGGTAACAATGAATAATTATCAATGAGCAGCTGCTCAACTTTAAACTTCCCCAGGAACCCTGAAACTTTGAAGGGGGCGAGACCGTAGCGAGTTGCTGGCAGAGACAGACAGCGAGGGGACAGCAGTCGCGCTCACCCCGAGCTGGGGGCAGCTGCCGCCGCTACAGCGCCACTCCAGGGCGCGGCGAGGCCACACATCCACTTCCCCCCCCCCCCCCCCGATGCTGTTGCTGCTACATCTGTATGCAAAGAGCTTGGTAGCTCATCGGATTCCTCATGCAGTCTAAATATTCTGATTCTGGCTCCTCTCCTCACATGGGAGCTCGCCTAACCAGACCTCGCCCCCAGTATCCGCAATTGTTATCGACTGGGCTTGGGCAGCCGCGTCGCTGATATTGTTTATGAGTTAACGCCGAGTTAATGAAGTGGTCTAGAACGCTGCTGGTTGTAAGAGTTTAATTTAAGCACAAAACTGTACTTGAACCACGCGTACTCACCGGCTATCGCCACAGACGTGACGTCACGAAGAGCGTGCGTGAGTGACGTCATCACCGCACGGAGGGATGGCGTCACCGCCGCAGAGCGAGTTCGCGGTGACGTCAAGCGAAGTCGGTGACACGCCGGACCGGGGTGACGTCACACTCGAGACGCGCGTCTAAAATCTATTGCGGCCCACAGGCGGAATGTGGCTTGAATGAAAGCACGGGTGTGGAGCATAGGGCGTGAACTACGCGCGTAATTTATATATTTGTTTTGTTCCGCTTAAGAGTACAGACCACAAACCGTGATGACCACGCCGCTGACGTTATTACGCAACCACATTCACGAGGACGTTTAAGGCAGAACATTTACAAATTCTAGATTTACAAAGGCAAAGGAAGTTTTACAAAGGCAAATGAAGTTTCCTACAAACTCGAGCGGATTAATTTGTTTTAAATGTACCATGTCCATTGTGAACGTCACTTCCGGAGTAGCGTCTTTTACCGGATAGATTTTTGTTTTAAAATAATTGCAAATAACCCCCCCCCCCCCGCGACTGCGACCCCCCCCTCCCCCCCTGCGGCAATGATCTCGAGCCGAACGCCCGCTGCGGCTCCCGTTAAATTTCAAAACCAAGCAGAGAGAAGCGCCGCGCGCCTTCGACGCCGCCGGGCGTAGGTTTTGTTTTAGGGGTCCATTTCGAGCGCGAAGGGCAGCCCCGGTGGGATCAAGACAGAGGGCAGCACCCCTCTCACGAGGGTTTAATTCCACGTGAAACCGATCAAGGGGATTCAATGGGACCGCACTGTTGACGTCACTTCCCGCGTGACGTCACCACGCTTACTAACTCAGCATCGATTTAAAAAAAACACAACTCAAAGCAATAATCAACGCGTCCCCCTACGATAGATCTGAGTATCAATATTCAAATCCAGCGTTTGAAACAAAGTCGCAAGAAAATGAGCCGAGGACCGTGACGGAGGTTGACACACCCATGTGACGTCACCATTTTTTACTTCCCCTAGATAAAAAGAAATGTTTCCGATGAACAAAAACTCAACTCTCTGAAAAACTAAACTGCAAAACCGACGTAATACTGACACATTAAAAAAATATATACTATTCAGATATAATTTTGCACCGGACGTGACGTCAATCCGCGAACGCGCTTGATTTGTGTCGCCGCCCCCGCGTCTCAGGGGCCCCAGCGCATGCGCAGTGGCGCGTAACGGCCGTGAGGGGGAGGTGCCGGAGCAGAAACGGGCGGGAGGGGGAGGGCTAGGCCAAAAAATGGGCGGAGCTAGCGCGAAAAAGGGTGTGGTCGTGGCATGAGGGGGGGAGGGGCTGGCGGGAAAGGGGCGTGGCCGGCGAGGAGGGCGACAGCATCGGGAGTTGCTCGTCCTTCCCGCTCTTCCCACTCCACGGAGACGGAGGCCGCGACCCCGGCACCGGGCTCAGGGAGCCGCGCTCCGCTCGCACCGCTGGTGAGGCCTGCGCCGCTGTTTTGCTGCTCTCCTCCGCTCTGTGTGAGTGACGAGAAGGCGACGCGGAGCCTCCACCCTCGGCGGTGCCGAGGGTGGAGGCTCCGCGGCGGCGCTGGCCCTCGCTGTATGGAGGCGGCTGGGCAGGGCAGGGCCGGGGCCCTGTAGTCATCATCATCACCACCTCCTCCATAATCATCGTTATTAAACCCTTTACAACGATGACTTTTAAACTGTTAAGGGTGATTGTGAACGTGATTAGCCGGTGAAGACAGAACTCTCGCGTCTAAGCAAGTATTAAGCGATCGTAAAATGTACCATAATTTAGTAATAGGACCCGATCAGGCGGCGAGGATGTTGAAACCGGCACAATCGTTTGGCAATTCTAATTACGGCTTACGGTTGTTCAACGTCATTAATGGGTGATGAGAGAAAGCGTCGCGTCTCAACAATGATACCTCGGTCACAGGAAATCCTCGTCGGCGATGGGGTTCGCCTCGTCTCGGCGTCTTTACGCCGAGCGTACAGAACAGTTATAAATGATGCATCTCATTAACGTCGTCGGATATCGAGGCCTGCCCGAGTCACAGCGTATTAACAATTGCATTTGAGCGTTATAATTCGCATCGTCAGAAGGTGAGAAGAGTGTGTGTGTCACGTTTCGTGGGTTAACGCAGGTAATTTATCTCGTTATTATTTAGTAACGTCATCGGTCCTTGTGGAGAGCCGTAATCGAATTAATTGTAAATAACCGAGTTAACGTCGTTTGTCTGTGATGAGAGAGAGAGGGCGCTTGCGTTTTGTCAATTAACACTCATTTTAAATAACATCAAGGTCATCAGACTGAGAATAGGCACTGTCATGAATTTGCACTTTCAATTAAACAATTATAAATATCGTGCCGAGGCAAAGGTCTTCTTGTGTCTCCCCAATGTCTTCAGACGGAAAAGACAGGGTAACACGTCTCATTCATACATTCTAAATAAACACCCTTTATTTAGAATGTGTGAATAACAGTTATAATGAGGCATGAGTAATATTAAACAACAGGGTGGTGAAGTAAGGCTCCCTGTAATCACCTCAATTAAAATGTACAATTATATGAATAACATCAGACAGTAAGAATAAGTCCCTGACTTCGCACAAAGCAATATAAAAATTAACATCACTATCAACATCAATACCGCATTGTACATTAAAAAAATCATAATTGACAATGAACAATGTTATCGATATACTTTTTCGCAGACGGTGACTTCGCCACTATGGGCAAGTTCCTGTCCAAGGTGTTCGGCAATAAGGAGATGCGCATCCTCATGCTGGGGCTGGACGCCGCGGGCAAGACCACGATCCTCTACAAGCTCAAGCTCGGCCAGCCCGTCACCACCATCCCCACCGTGGGCTTCAACGTGGAGACGGTCACCTACAAGAACGTGCGCTTTAACGTGTGGGACGTGGGCGGGCAGGACAAGATCCGCCCGCTCTGGCGGCACTACTACACGGGCACGCAGGGCCTCATCTTCGTGGTGGACTGCGCCGACCGGGACCGCGTCGACGAGGCTCGGCAGGAGCTGCACCGCATCATCAACGACCGCGAGATGCGCGACGCCATCATCCTGGTGTTCGCCAACAAGCAGGACCTGCCCGACGCCATGAAGCCGCACGAGGTGCAGGAGAAGCTGGGCCTCACGAGGGTGCGCGACCGCAACTGGTACGTGCAGCCGGCGTGCGCCTCCACGGGCGACGGCCTCTACGAAGGCCTCACGTGGCTCACGTCCAACTACAAGTCCTAGCCGGTGGCCCCAGTGACGGGGAGGTGGCAGTGGAGGACGGAGGTTACGGAGATGAAGGCTCCTCCCAGCTGGCCATGCCCTCGTGGGGCAAGGGGGACTGTGGTTTGGTGTTGGCACTGCCTGACACGTTCATAGTTATTGGGGGGGGGGTGCGGATGTAGGGGGGTAGGGGGGCAAAGGTGATGAGGAAGGGGGATTAATGGCACACTGAGCTAGCTAGCTTTTTTATTGGTCAGAGGTGGTTTAGTTTCTTTAAAAGGTTTATATGGTGCGTTCAAGTGAGAGAATGTGAGTTTATGTGTGCGCGTGGCGTGCCGATTGTGCGCAATTACATGTTCAAGCGCCAATTCTACCGTTCTCTGAGGCTACCGGCCATCGGTGAGGCTTCAAAACGGTGGGGGACATGGTGGCGTCCAGCCACTGCATGCAGGGGTGGGTACACACTTGCCTCTGTGGTGCCACCCACACTGTAGCCACAGCCTGCCGGCGTGGTACCAACCTTCAATTCCACCAGCCGGCCGGTGTGGTGCTACTCTCATCACCTGCTGGCGTGGTGCCACTCGCACTGAAATCACATTCTGCTGGTGTAGTGTCGCCCACACTGAAGCCGATGCCAGCTCATGCGGTGCCTCCCTCGCCAAAGTGACCGGCTGGCGGTGGCGGTGGAATCCAGTTCCGGCCCAGCAGCAGCTGTGCCGTACTGTCTCGATGCTCCCATGAACCAGGAGTCGAGGGAGGGCAGCATGGACTGATTGATAGATGATGACCACTGTTGAGAAGCAGCCGCCTCGAAGTATTAAAAACGCCGTCTAGCCGCATCTGGATGAAGATCAAAAATAAAGAATGGACTAAATTTGTAAAATAGGCTATTTTTCTATATATCTTCTGGATTTCGTGTATTTGATCATAAGATGATCGCTTTAGAATGTATTTTACCTGCCCGCCCGCGCACCCCCTCCTTTCCCCCCCAATCCGCCCCACATCATCCTCGCCCTACTTGTAATGCATTGTGAAATGTTTAACCAAAACAATGTAAACGTATTTACGCAGATGTGCTATGATCCATGACACAGGGTTTGGCGATACCGTATTTGGGCATGTCGGACATATTATCAGTTTCGATTCAATTTTATATATCGGTGATGCTCTTATTAAGACACGCGGTCTCATCTCATTCGTTTATTTTGTTGTACATACATTAACTATGCAGCCTTTTCAGGGTACGGATGTAGTGTTAGCTTTGGGGAATTTAACGCTATTTTATTTCTTCCAGCCATTCCACGTATATAAGTGCACAAAGTATGAACCACATAAAGATTTTTTCTCAAATAAATTACTCAGAGCAGTGATATTCCACGGAAACGCTAACTTCTTTGGGAGCCTGTCTTTTAATTGTAGACATTTAAATTCAGTTAAATGTGTAGAGTTTATTTTGTGTTTAACATCTGCCTTTTCTCTAATCAATAAATGGAAGTTAGTGTAAAGAAGTTAGTGTTTTTGTGGAGGTTTTCATTGTACTGGAAGCATAATTGCACCTGACATGTGCTGCACCATGGCTGAAATCACACCACGTAGTTTTTTACAGGTGAAGGCATGCTATAAAATTAACATGCAGTTTGCTGCCTGCTGAAAATACCCAACAAACACCATTGCTTACTAGATAGCACTGATGCCGGTGACATTGGTGCATCAAGAGGTTTTATTATAATCTTAATAACTGAGAAAGTAAACTATTGTTGATTGTAAAATATAAAATTGCATTTTTAATTTCAAGACCAAACATCTAACAATTGATTTTTTTTTCCCTCAGAAAATAGCGAGTGACATAATTTATACTTGCTAGGTTTAATTGTGAGCTATGGGAAGTGGTGCAACCGGTGTGTTGACAACAGAAGACTCTTTGTTTACTTGAAGCTGCCTGAAGCAGCAGTCCCCAACACCAGTCTGCACAACCCGTGCTCCCTTGTCCCCCCCCCCCCCGGTAGGCCCCAGGTAGCGTCGCTGACCATGGCAGTGGGCTCGAGTCCGGTCACTGGCAACGTAGGAAGCGGGGCCGTGCCGACTGTAGTTGATGATAGCTGCAGGAGAATAGCATCTTGCGCGCGTGTGGTTTGCTCTGCTCTGGTGGCTTTTTGCTTGCGCGGCACTCGGGCTTGGCGGTGTAGGTGGCAGCAGCTGCTCCGAGCATCGAGCCATCTTGCTTTTGCGGTGCCGTTGACAATTTTTGTATGTGTGTGTGGAGAATAAGTCTTCAAGCTGCACACACACAGTACATGCACTCCTGCTCGACTTGCTGGCGTCGTGGATTTCTTAATTAACTGGTAGCCGCTTTTGCGCCTGCGTTGACGCCGATGGATGATTAGGGTGCACGTGCATGCAGGTCCACCGACAATCTGTCATCGTGCATAATCCTGAAACAGATGCTTGTCGGATGTGAGGCTGAGCAAAGATGCACGCGGATTTAACAGGTAGTGGGGGCTTTGGGATAATTTATACTACTGTTCATTAAAAGCTATTTCAATGTGGTTTGTTTTATTTCAGTAAAAATTTTAACCATGGCTGACAGGTCTCGTGTCCAATATGTGACGGTGGTGCTACGTGCAACGCGTGTTGTTAGGTGTAAACGTGGCCTCGTGCGCGAGGGGCTTTCGGATGCGTTCAACACAAGCGCCCACTGTCCACGAATGTAGAAGATGGGTGCTGCACATTTGAAAGCCTCTTGTCACTGATGGGAGCCCAACTTAAATACTGCCCTTTCATGTCCTCCCTTCTGGATTCACGGGGTCACAAACAAGGCCCACCTCATCCATTCTGACGTAGATTCTGGTGCATTATTTACAACAACTTGAATCATATTTTAAGGTGTGGGTCCATTTGTCTGTTAACACAGCCGTTTTTTTGCTCTTCCTAGTTGCTTACAAAAGAGTTTGTTAAGCCAGGGAAAGAATTAACTGCGGCACGCCAACAGTAAATAATTAATTCCGCGA